ATAGATCAGCCCAGGGCTGGTGGACACGCAGCGCATGGTCCAGGCTCTGGAAGAGCAGAAACATGAACATGCCCAAGAGGGAGGGGATAAAGGCGTAGACAAAGTTGGCGGCTGAGAAGGCTCCGCTTCCGGGTCGCGCAGTGAGATGAGGGAAGTATCCCTGGTCCAGTCTGGTCTCAGGCAAAAAGGAGACGACGAGAATGGCCACAATGACAAATGTCATCAAGACAACCGAGCCCAGAATGACAGGAGTGCGCAGGGCGATGGGCAGGTAGCGGTAGTGGGCATAACGGGCCTCGGCCTCGAGGTCATCGCGGGATGATGCGGGTGAGATGTTATAGCTGGCCTTCTTGGGCAGGACGCTATACGATGCCCTTCCAGCCTGCGCATCCTCACCCACGCATCCGATGCCGTACCACATGCCATTGCCCTGGCCATCCATCTGCCAGTATCCAAGTCTGTCGAGATGTCGGTCTCGAAGCTGAGCCTGGAAGAGGGTGCTTCGCTGAACGACATCGACACCCTCATAGCTCTGAGTTGTGTTGCTTTGGCTCAGCAGGGGGAGGAGATGGCCGAGCGAGCGGACATCCCACATAAGTCCCGTCCACTTGTTGATCCAGAACATCATCAAGATGATGGTGGCAACCAATAGCAAGATGTACAGAGTGACAAGGGTCCAGACAACGCCCTGAACTGCAGCCCAGATCCAATCTTGATCCTTGTAGATGCACGTGAAAGCAGTGCTCATGAGAGGAATGGTAAAGTTGGCGAGCCACGTGCAGACGCTGAACAGCTGAAACTGCCAAGGGCCCGTGAATGAGGGCAGTAGGAAGGTCTTGGGGTACAGTCTTCGGAACAGCGCCAGATATCGGACGCTTGGCTCCGCATCGGCCATGGCAGTGAATGGGAGCATGCGCATCGAAGCAGAGACAACGGCTTGGGCGTAAAGGAGGATGATGGCTGAGAAGATTTGAGGCAAGATGCGGAACAAGAAATATTGACCGCTGTAGATGCTTCCGGGGTAAGGGGTGAATCCAGAGTCCTTTGCAGAGTAAACGGCGCAGAAGATGAGAGCGGCAATCATGAGCAGGCACAGGAGCACCAGGATGATCATGGAGATTGGGCGGAGAATGGCGGGCTTGTAGTCAAGAGCAGGATGAGCTCGATCAATTGGGATAGATCTGGGCCTCTGCTTTTCGCGCTGAACAAATTGGTCAGGCTCGGAGGGTGGGCTAGAGGGTGTTGTTGGTGTTTCCTCGGGTGTGGACGGCACATCATGGTGGACCACGGTACCGGGGCTCTCCTCCAGCAGAGGCGCCCGTGTCTCAACCGGCTCTGGGAGTCGGTCCTCGACGTATGCGGGCTGCGGGACCGGCAAAGCGGGATATCCCATGTTTTCAGGCATTCTTTCGGGTTGCGGATAGTCTTCGTCCTCATCGTAAAAGTCATTTGATGAGCCGGACGGGAAGTGGACGGCCGCGGGGCCGCCCCGTTCGCGAGTGAGGGCATCCAAAGCATATTGAATATATGGCGTGTCATCGACACCAGGTGTGACCTTTCCAGCGGCAATGGTGAGCTCATCCTTAATGCTCTCCATGCGAGGATCGCTCTGGGCGGCGAACATGGTTAATTGCGCCTCGTCGAAGCGAACGACGCCGGGAGGAACTGTGCGCTGTGTCTGTGTCGGCGGTGTAGGTGCCGCAAAGGCCTCAGGCAGCGCTGAGCCAAAGAGTCGCTCGGGACCGTAGATCTCAGCTGTTGATGCCGAAACCTTTGTTCCTAATGAAGGAGGTGAGGGGGCAAAGAAGAGACCCGCGGGCTGTGTCGATATTGATGAACGGTTGGTGTTGGTTGAGGGTTGTCCCGGACGGTGCCTAAGATCATAGTATGGCCGCAGGATCGGCTGAGAGGACTGATCGTCGTCGTCGCCAGGAGTCTGCGCGGGAGACAGCTTCGGCGGGCCTTGACCTATGTGGGCGCACCCGTCAGTTTCACTGACAGACCAAGCCAGTTAAGTGTAGTTGGTGTAGTGCGAGTGATGGTGTAGGCAGTGATAGTGTCTGTGATGATGCAGGCAAAGGAGGTAAGTGCGGATTGTGCAGGTGATGATGTGTGAAGGACGGTTACATACGACGAGCTTCAGGAAGGTCGAAGTTGAAGTTTTGCGAATTCATTCTGATCAAGTTGGGAGGGATGTTAGCCAACTTGCCACTCCACTCACACACACGCGCTCAAGTTCGACCAATTGATTGCACGGAACAGATGGCGAAGAGAGACAGCATGGCAAGAAACTAGAGAAGAATGGGATATGGTTGGACTATGAGGGAACTTTGGCGCGAGGCTGGGTTGCGAAGACGAGAGGTTGGGAAGTTTGGGAGGCCATCGCCAGCCACCGGCACCCCACCAATGACGGACGGGCCTGGGGGGGACGGTTTTAGTTTTGGGTGGGGGGTGGGTGATCCTGGTCAGAGCGAGAAAGCAAGGAACCGATGACTTTACTTACGATGAGAGCGCAAAAATCAGCTGCGAAGCACAGATGCCGTTGAGATTGGAGATCTCAGTCTGCTCTTCTCTATGAGAAAGACAAAGAGAAGAGGGAAAATTGAGATGAAGTAGAGAGAATTCTTTTTCGTCGGGCTCGGACGATGCTTAGGTTCGTAGCACCTTGCACTGCTGAGTTGTCACCCGGTAAGGCGAGCGTTTAAGTGACGCTAAACCTGAACGGGACAAGCTCGACCGGGCCGCCGGGAGCTTCAAGACGGTCCCCATCCATTACGCCTGAGCCGTCCCACCATGTTGAGAGATACTGGTGAGAGTCAAGAGTCGCTGCAAATTATCATGTGTCTTTATTCGCTGGCTATTATTACAATGTTTGCTAGCTGCTTTAATACCTTTGTTCTTATTCTTCAATGAAGCTGTTTGCAGCTCACAGCAGCTGCACAATGACTTATTTGCTCGCTTAACCACATCCCGCATGTGATAACCACCTCGCTGCAGATTCCGACCTTTCACAGACGTGACACGTGTGTGACACCGACAACGAGTGCAGGCAACCTTGGCTCCATTTCGCCCTGAATTTCCCCCCCCTGGAGCTTCTAGCCCTGGGCTCTAGCTCAGGTTGCCCCGAAAAGCAAGGGACCCGATTGACAGGCTAAAACCTAGACAAGCGCTCCAGCTCCTAAAAAGCTTGGGTGTTGGGTTGCAGGGGGTTGAGACATATACCAACCACCTCTTCGGCAACACCTTTCTTTTTTAGATATCGGCTTCAGCGCAACCCCCGATCAATAGAGGATAGCATCATTGCTGAGTGTGAGGCGTTTCACAGCTGCGATTTTTCAGGGGGCTTTATCTCTGTGTTACTCCGGGCATGCAACGTTTATGGTGAATATTTCGTGTCGGCAGTAGAGGGTTGGCAATACAAGGTTGGCTGGAACACGATACGGCGCTCACATGGCCATCAAAGCTCAATGTCTCGGCAACATAAAAAAGAATTGAATCACTAATTGGGCTGAAATCTAAGTTCCTCGTGACAAGGCATCTAGGAGTTCTCCGGGGCTAACACAGCCTGCCCAGCTCCATGATCGCCAGCAAACCCACTTACATGCAAGGGCGCGAGCCGCAACTCTCTGCACGCCGGCCTCATGCAAGGTACGCGCGACCTTGGATCCAAGATCAAGGGAGAATAAACTGGGATGATGCCGGTCGAGACTCTAAAGGCATCGTCTCAGCTTCCAAGAGGCTGGGAACGACAAGGCTCAAGCCTAGGATCTGGCTGCGCAGGGCGGCCGGCTTCTGCGTCATGATGCTCAAACAAGGTCAGGTCGCGTTTCGGGCCACCCAGGTCTTTGGGTTGTATGCCGATTGGTGACCGTACAAACGGGCCAGATGGTATATGACCCTGACGTTTCTCCCTTCGATGACTCCTAGGATGATGAGACGGATGTGGTGGCTGGACGAGATGATCAAGGAGTTCCGTCGGTCACATGGTTGGCTTGGACCACCATCGCCTTCAACTTTCGAAGCCAGCCTCTTGGTCTTGGGGTTTAAGAGGGTCGCGTGTCGCGTAGCACCTGCCTCACGTCATGGCTTTATTAAAAATATTTCATGATGCTCTGTGCGCCGTGTCAAAGCATTGAATTGACTTTAGCCACCTGATGGCGCTGAGACAAGAGCTCTCAGGAGTGCTGGGCCGAACTGGGGATGATCGATTACAGATACGTACCCGCCGTCATCGACGTACGAGCAGGGCAGCCTGAGCCTCTCATTGCTCCACAGGTACTGAATCACTGGACTCGCAGAGGGATTTCAGCCTGTGGGACAGCGGTCTTCTCATGGAGTGGACAGAAGGCCGAAGGCGCTAACTTCTGGGGCCTTTCAGCAGCCGGCCATGGACTCGCCTGTTGGACGAGTGGTGCGATCCGTGACGGTCATGCGATTTGTTGATCGAGAGCCCTGAAATGACGGATGCAGGTCGAATGCAGGCGACTGCATTTCGAAGCGGAAGAGTGCATATGGAATCCCGTCCGTCGTCTCACGCGCCGGCAAGTGACGTGAGGGAGGAGAGGAAGCGTTCTGCAGTTCGTCTTATCCAATGTGGGTAAGTTCATCACCAAGTGGATGTAAACCCATCACGTGCCAGCCTCCCCCGGACCGTCGCGCCAGCACTTTCCCTTCCCCCTCACGGATTCTGGATCCGAAAAGCCCGAGACGGAAAAATTGACTGGTTAATTAAAAAGATGAGACACGAAAATAAACCTGTAATACAAGTGATATATCACACTGCCGGTGTCCTCATATTTATGTCAACAAAAGCTGGTCCCTTGCGGTTTTTGAACCCCATGACCCAGTGGGCAGCTCCTTCCCTCCAGAGCCGAGTGCACCTTCCCCAGTTCTTACCCCACACAATGGCCTGCTTGCTCGCGTCCGATGATTCCAACCTGCCACTCACTGACCGGTTCAACCCTCCTCCTTGGCTGCTTTCCCCCAACCAAGACTTGAAGGAAGAATATCGAGTCAAGACTACTTAGCGAACAATTCTTTGTTGGCCTCTTTTACGTCCATTGCGTCCGCACAACGGCTTGCGCGTTCCTATCATTTATATCCGAAGGAACTTTGAACCTTCCTATCTTGGTCAAAGTGTCAACGTCGGCTGTGCCTCGGTCATCCACCTCCACCTCCTCCCGGTCTCCCCGCTGCACCGCGACGAACATCGCGACATCTTCTTCCGAGTCTCTCCCCAGAGTATAGATTCTTGTCACGATCTAGTATAAGACCTGAGAACGGCATCATGTTGTATGTACCTTATCCCCGCCATGGCCCTGTCATGGCTGCGGTTGCGGCTGCTACTTCTTGCGCCCGACACAAACTGACGCCATGAGATTCCAGTGTCCTACCTCCCCCGCCGCGGTATCCCACCATGGGGCCGTATGGCACCAGCTCGATACATCCCGTGCCTATGATTGAGACCAACAACACATTGTCAAATCCGACTGGCCCCGAGTGGCAGTTTCTTGTTGGCGAGGGTCAGTATTCCCGGGGCTTTTGCGCCTCCGCTTGCGCCCACGAGACGAATCAGGTCTGCCTGTATTGGCGCAGCTTCCGGCTAACGCTGTTCGCAATCTGCAGGAACATATACGCTCAAAGAAGACCTACATCTTGCGACACCTCCACCTCATCCCTCAGAAGCTACAGTACCGAATCCAAACCCGCTCTCGACTCACCCTCAACCAGCCACCGCCGGTACCAATGTCTCGCTTGTTACTCTAGATGCCCGGAATGCTCCGCCGTTCTTTTACAAGGGTCTTTCTTCCACCACCCTCGCCTTGAGCGGTGCACCTTCGAGCATTCAAGAGCATCCGAATGAAGGTCGTTACTCGGCCGAGGGAGGCATGAGCAGCGAGGACGGTAGGGCCGGCTCAACGAGCGATGCTCCAGCTACTTCTATAACGCTGGGCTCTGCGCCAGCATTTGGCGAGGGCAATGCCTTGCTTGCGCAAGTACAGAGCAAGGACGTGAATAAGAAGAGGAAGCCCAAGAACAACATGACCAAGAGCAATTCCTCCTTCATCTCACGTGTTATTGTCAACGAAGGCCTCTCTAGGAAGCTTACTGAGCGACCAAGTGATGGAATCTTCGCTTTTGCCAACATCAACCGTGCTTTTCAGTGGCTTGACATGTCTTCCTCATCCAAGGTATGTCCCATGAGAACAATTGATAGCCCCTGAACGCCTCCGCTGACACCATGACAGCAAGATTATTTGACCAAGATTCTGTTCACCAAGGCTCACTGTCTGTGCCATGATGTGAATACTCATACAAAGACTGTCGCACACCTTGACGTTATCATGGGCTTCTCAACCGGAGAGATCATCTGGTGGGAGCCAATCTCACAGCGATATACGCGACTGAACAAGAATGTGCGACAGCCTTCCTCATCTAAACACTATTACGTGGGCGATGCTAACAGATGTAGGGAGCCATAAATGGAACTCCAGTATCAGCGATCCGATGGATTCCGGGATCTGAAAACCTGTTCCTCGCCGCCCACATGGACGGGTCTCTGGTGGTTTATGATAAGGAGAAGGAAGATGCCCAATTCAATCCTGAAGAGGAGGCAGTCAATGGAAATACAAGTGGCAGCAGTGGTGAGGCCATAGACACAACCAACGGCAATACTCACCCCAATGGAATCCGCATCAACAAGTCGGTCCATTCCAAGAACCAAAAGGCGAACCCAGTAGCGGCCTGGAAGCTATCAAACCACCGCATTAACGCCTTCTCGTTCTCTCCCGATAACCGACATCTGGCTGTGGTTTCTGAGGACGGAACACTTAGGATCATCGACTATTTGAAGGAAGAGTATGATTTACGCCTCTCAGCCCTTCTCCGTTGGATTTGCTCACCTGGCTGACTTATTAGGCTTCTTGACGTATTCTACTCGTACTATGGCGGCCTGACTTGTGCCTGTTGGTCTCCAGACGGGAAGTACGTCTTGACGGGCGGACAAGATGACTTGATTTCGATTTGGTCGGTTGTCGAGTCTGCGCTGGTGGCAAGGTGTCAGGGACACCAGTCTTGGGTGTCTGCTGTTGCCTTTGATCCTTGGCGATGCGACGACCGCAACTATCGTTTTGGAAGCGTGGGGGAGGATGGGCGTCTTTGTCTCTGGGATTTCAGTGTCGGCATGCTTCACCGACCAAAGGCGGTATGTGACAATACTAATAATGATGATGGAGGTGGTCTGGCTGGTAGCCGCACCAACAGATGAACAGAAGCTGACGAGGGACGCAAATGTAGCAATCTGTCCGACATCGGGGGTCTATCTCGTCACGATACACGGCCCTGCAGCGGGCAGAGACGGCGACCACGTCCAACTCGCGGCTGCGATCCGACTCGAACCTCGATGCGGAGGACGAAGAGGTTGTGATTCAACACCCTGTTGAGCCTCGAGCTCGGATCCCTATGCTCCCCCCTGTGCTTGTAAGTGCCGGCCCCAACAATGACGAAAAGCTGCCGTGGGGGCAACTAGAGCACTGACACGACGGTTAATAGAACAAGTCGATCGATACGCACCCGGTGTGCTGGTTAGACTTTACAGAAGACGCCATTATCACGAGCTGCAAGTCAGGTAAGAATGCCTCCGAATCTCGTGAATCGCACGTGCGAACCGATCAGATCGAGAAACCTTCTTGCCAGGCAGGAACTGACATGTTGCACAGGACATATCAGAACGTGGCTACGTCCTGGGTCGGAACTGGCGGCACAGACCGAAGGAGCATCAGCCCCGGCAGCGGCATCATGATAGATGGATCGGTGATGAAAAAGCTTTCACAGGCTTTGAAACGAGGGTGATGACGAATTGCAGTTGATGACGAGCTTTTTTTTTCTTCTCCGTGCTGACCAAACAGACGACCAGCAAATGGATACGGTACTTGGGGAGTGGCTGTTGTCGTTTCCATTATTGGTTGCTTCAGGGATAGCGGTCCCTCGCTTGGATTTGATGATGTATGATAGATAGGGAAGGGGAATCCACTTTGAGTCTTGATTCTGCAAGTTTAGCCTGAGGTGTGAGGTGCCGAGTGCCATTAGGCAGCTAAATTAACTCGGGGCTGGGATAGCAAAGGAGTCATATAGATGTCTCTGCTGGTTCGAGTTACGTAGCTGAATACCTTGCTTGGTTGGGAGGCTTTAACCGCTCAACAGGTGAGTCGGTCCTATCAATCAGTGGTCTCGGTCGAGCCCACATGGCAGCGGAGGCTCTTCGGGGAGCGACAAGTTGCCGCGCCAGAGATCCACCATGTCCACCATGAGGCATGAGGCTACAGGACCCTGAATTCTTTGTTTCGAGATAGCAGGGGGGGAGCTAGCGCACGTAACGATTACCTGTATCCATTGCTGCATCTTCAAGATAAGAACAGAGTTCCTTGCTGCGTCGATGAAAGAATGTGATAAATGATGGGCACTAGCAGTGGATACGAGAAAGACGAACATGTGCTGAGGTCCATGCGAATTGAGAGAACATGATAATATCAGGCGAGGTCAGTCGGATCGAGCTATCAAGCCGAGCTTGGAGCTCATAGGAGCTCAACACCAAAGACGTCGAGTACATGTATGTACGCGCGCTTGTACGAACATACGAAAATACATGCGAGCTTATGCGCCTGTAGCCGGCCAAGCATCATGCTCGCTGCTGGCGGACGCGACCCGGGAGCATCTGCCGCATCGACGGACCGGTCGTGCATGGCATATGGCGCAGAGCTCGAGGAAAAGCGCAGGGAACAGGCCAGAAAAGAGCGCAGCTCCTCAAAAACACACAACGAGAAAGCTGGATGCGAAATGCATGCATGGCTCGTCAGACGGGAATAAAACTGCATGTCTTGGCTTTTAACCCCCCCTTGCACCTCGAACGAAGGTGAGGAGCCCACTCATCCCACTAACAGCGGCCGTTGCCGAACCAAACTTGATGGGCAGGGGTTGTCCAGTCGTGGAGGGCAGACCATCATGTGGTGGGCTCGCCTGATGGCGTGGACATGTCATGGACACCGCCGGGAGAGGGAGGGACGTGTCGATAGCTGCTGTAACAGCAACAGCAGAGAGAGGCAAGGTGTCAGTGACTGATCAGCAATAAAAGAGAAGCGCGAGGAAGAGACAAGCTTTGCTTGCTTGCGAGTTGGTGTGCATGATGACTTGATGATCATCATGGATTGGGCCTGCTGCGTATAATGGCACTTCCACGAGATCTCAAACTCTTGGCTTTTAGGTCAGGGTTGAGAGGTGGGGTGAAGGGCCGACAAGATGGATGTAAGTGAATCTCTAGATGTTATGTTGAGCAACGGACAGGCTAGAAAAGCCAAGAGAAGGGAGAGCTCGGAGCTGCTGTTTCGATTAGGTTATCCATTGGTTCGCCATCATGAGCCCGAGCCCGAGCCTCAGACTACGGACCTTGTTCACCGAGAACGTGTCCACAGTCCATCCACTTTGGGCTCGCCGCGATATCACCTCTTCCAAGGACCAGTCCCATCGGGCACAGTCATGATTAGAACGGATTGCGAATTCCACAGGGCTGAAGAGGATGGGTCATTTTTTCACTCACCGACGAAAAAAGGCCCAGTTTTCGGGACAAAAACCACTCAGAGGCTCCATCAAACTAGAACAATTCTCCCGAAGAAATTGCAAAGCAGAGACAATTCTTCTTCAGCCTTCAATTTCCCAAAGGTTACAGCCGAGGCGAAGAATAGAACTGACCACGCGAGGCGTTCTAACACGGAGCCACATGCCGACACAGCACCGTTGTGTCTCCGGAGCGTGTCCGAGAGACTTCCGGGAATCGTTACGCATGCGGCGGCAGTCTGCTGCTGTGTCGCCCAAGTACTGCACCACCAAGACTTGGTGGCTTGAGAACCCTGAGGCTGAGAATTGGCGGACGGGAAGAAGTCCAAGTGGCGACGCCACCAGTGACTGAGGTGCGCTCGTCACACGGGAATAACACGCTCCAAGCTGGAGTGGGTAACTCATGTACGTAGCATCAAGTTCCTGAGAACCTGGTCGGCTCGGGCTTCAAACAGCGAGAATGGACATGGAGCTCCTCGGGTTAGATCTTGCCGCCCGCCATCTCGGTCCTTTGTCGCCGCGAGAGGGCACCAGCGCCAGTCGGCGGGCGCTTGTTTGATGGGGAAAGAGTCAGAGTCGCGGGAGATGATGCAAACCCAAGATACGGCACGGATGCCATGACGAAGAAGCCAGGCCAGGCCAGGCCATGCCATGCCATCTGGGTCCGCCCGGGGGGTGTGAGAACGCCTTCTGCACGCAATGCCAGGCGTGCATATTGCCAGTCTCTGGATTCGAAGCAGAAAGAAGCGAAAAATTTATGCCAAGGGCCCCTGTCTGCTGGGCTGGGCTCCTCTCATTTGGCCGGTTAAATGTTACTCTGTCTGCCTTTGCAGTCTCGACTGATGACTGAAGTCCAGGAACCTCCAGTTCACCACTGTCGCAATTCCCCCATGCTGCTTGGCAGTGGTGAATCCCAAGGGAACCAAGACTAGGGTGCTAGATGGTCTGGAGTCTAGGCCTGCTGACCTAGACTCGATCTCGCCGTCTTGAGAGCTCGCTGATAGGGCACGGTAACCGTTCGGCTGAAGGGTGTCATGGATTTCTGGCTGGACAGGTGTGATGGTGGTGCTGCAGTCGTGATCCCGTGCCAACAATCCTTATTTTCAATATTCCTCTTTTGTCTTTCATCCCATGTTTTCGGATCAGTACATCTCGCCCGGCTGACCCGACGAGAAAGGAAGAATCAGGTCAGGTAATGGTATTCTTCCGTTGCATGTGCTCGTTGTTTGTTGAGTGTATTGGTGCGCATCGACATCAGCGGCTGTCATCGAGAGCTCGTAGATGGATCCTCCATCAAGGGAAAAAGCGTTGGCTGGCTGAGAGCCCCATTCCCAGATAAGCAGCAAGTCAATCTATGGCCGACTCGAATGATGGGCCAAAAAGAAGCACGCTGTGACCGTGCGCCAGGGACCTGCTTCGTAGCTCGAAACGCAGTTGTGCGATAAAACCCGGCATGGCGGAGCCGCAGTGGTAGAGAGGCCATTGAAAAAGGGTATCGAGGCTCATGGCTTGGCTGGCATGGCATGGCATCAGGCCCTAGCTTAAACCGTCCACCGTGAGCCGACTATTCGCTATCAAGAATGGTGGGTGTTGAGCATCGGTGAGTGCCCAAAGAGATAGCGGCAAGCTCAAAAGCGCTCACGATGCCCATTCCAGACCTGACCCGCCCAGTTCGCGAAACGGACGGACCCAGCTCGCTAGGAGGCTTATGAGGCGCTTCGCCTTTCCCCTCGTTGTGGGCTGCGGGCGCTGAGATCCAGGAGTCGCCAGCGTATCGCCTTGTCTCATTTGGAAGATGCGTGCTTGCGAGCTTGCGTGGGAGGCGCTGTCAGCTTTGTTGTCTGAGTTGAAGCATCATGGGGGTCCGCGTGGGGGGTTTTGGAAGCTGTGTCCAGTCGTGACTGGTGAGAAGTAGAGCTACAAGGCGATGAGAAAGCCAGAGCCCCTTTACGATGCGTCTCACGACAGGGAAGACGGATGGCTTTCTGTCTGCGTAATTCGTCGGAATAGTACATGCACCGTCGAATACGCAACAGTTGAGGCGGAGTGTAAACGCTCTAACGTCAGACAGCCAGCCCGGGCAGGTGAGGCGGTTGGGAATGCAGGTACGTAGACCGACCTCCTTCCATTGAACTTTATCACCCGGAATTTTCCCCTCCCGTCCCGATCTTTTTCCCCTTCCTCATCTTGTTTCCCGCTTTATCGGTTACCTTCACCCTCCCCCAGGTCCCGTTCCGGCTTCGTCTCTTGCACTCCCTAGGGGCTATTCCTCTGCCCTGCCCTATCATCTCCGCTTCTCGGCGTCCCGCCGCCGTACAAACAGACGCTCGGGGCAATTCGAAATGTTCTGGGACGTCCAGGGCAAAGCTTCCATCGGGCTTCGATAACACGACTCATGCCTACTCGTGCAGCAAACTCAAGGTCCGCCCTGCCAGCCACAAGCCGTGGCCCGGCGTCGCCGCCCCACCACCCTTGCCGTCTTGCTGTTCTGCCTTTGATCAGCGGCTGGTTTCTGGCTTGCGTGCTCGTTCTCACTGCTCACTAACGCAATGGTTCTAGCGGTGGTTCTAGAGGCACAGCGGCCGAGGCACTCTCAGCGTGGCACAGTCACTCCCAAAGAGGGCCTCGTTGTTCAAACGCCAACGGGGATACGTAGGCGAGTGTACAGTATCGTCGAGGTCGTGTCAAGTCGTATTCCCCTCTCCGAGTCGCCGTTCTCCGACTCTGTCCTTGTACCCGGCCGCCCGTTTATACCGTCGCAAGCCTCCGGCACGTACGATGTACGGGTACATGCAGCCACCTAGGTAGGCACTCATTGCCGTTTGGGTTCGAACAGTACTGTGCCTCTGCTGCAACAACCGTGCCATGTCGCCATGGCGATCTGGATTTTGCGTACAGTAGGTCGTCAGCAGGGCAAGGCATGCCCTGTTATAACCAAAGAGGCTTGGGGGCGTGGGCGTCTACAGGGGATAAAGGTGCGTCGACACCTTCTTGCTACGTCCGTCCACCTTGCCGGTGTGGTACGGTTGGCATCCATGATGAAAGGCAGATGCGACCATCAGATGTCCCGTTGTCAGGAACATATTTCATGTATCCGTACCAAAGCAAGGCAAGGCTCCATTGATCAGAGTTCCACACCCCCTTCTTTATAAGCCATTGCCGCCTCCAATCGCGACGGCGTCCCACTTGGATATCGTCTTGTCAACTTTTTCTCGACAATTATCGACATTTTGCCGGGTTTGCCTGGATATGAATCCTCAGTGATCCGACACGGTGGGCGTCTTATCAAGCAAGACCCTCTTTTATATTTTTGTCCCGTCGGTCGGTCCCATCATCATCCATCCCTCTCCACCTGCGCCGCGCCGCTTGATCTGCTGTATCATCTCTCGCCTCCCATCGCGCGGAGCTTGACGGGCCTGCGACCCTTGTTTGGCCTGGCCCTCCTGGACTGGACTTTGGATTTCCTGATCTCACAGCCCCACCATCTGCAAGAGGCTGTACCCACCACATCCCGCCATCGACTCGTGCGTGGGCTCGTGGTTCTCGTTCTGTAGCTCGTCACTCGCGGGATGTCCGTTGTCGCTCGCTGCCCGTCTTAGCCGTGACCCCAAATAAAACCCTCCGACATCCTCCATAGCTTCTTTTCTTTCCTCTGGTCCGCCCTCTTGGTCGTGTCTTGGTCAAGTTCTGTCCCATCACCCCCATTGCGCTCCTGCAGCGACACAACACAACCACAACCGACGCTTATCATGCCGTCCTTTAAGCCCTTCTCCTCAGTGACCGGGCGCAGTTCATATAGTCTCTTCGACATTCGGTAAGTTTGCCATTGACTGCGAAAACCACAGGCAGCGGCGGTTCCTCGTACTAACTGCGCTTGCCCTCCAGATTAGACAGCGACTTTATCGTCTTTCGAGGAAGCGAACATGAGTCCTCCGGTCAACTTCTCAAGGGCACTCTTGTCCTCTGCCTTCAGGCGCCGCTAAAGATGGAAGATGTGCGCCTGCGACTAGTTGGTACTCTGCGCCATTCGTAAGTTTCCCTCAAACTCTCCAAATCGTATCAGCCAGGTCCCGTCTGGGACGGCGACTGACCATTGTGGCGGATGAACAGTTGGGCTGACCCGAGAGGAAGTGCTCCTGGCGTTTCGGGTCAAAAAGTAGATAAGACGACAACGATTCTCGAGCACCGCTGGGCGCCCTTTGTGGGCACCCACGGTAAGAGCATGACGCTCCCCGCCGGAAACTACGAATGGCCCTTCGATTACATGCTCCCTGGCAACATGGCCGAGAGCGTTGAGGGCATCCCCGAGGCCTCGATCACTTACAGACTCCGAGCGACCGTTGGACGAGGAAAACTCGCTTACGACCTACACGCGAACAAGCACCTTCGAATTATCCGAACTCTAGAGCCCGGCGCTCTGGAGTTTCTCCACGCTATGAGCGTTGAGAACATCTGGCCTAACAAGGTCGACTACTCGATTGTCATCCCTCAAAAAGCTGTTGTCTTTGGCGGAGTGGTAACGATGGAGATGCGATTTACACCACTACTCAAGGCACTTGAACTTGGTGACATCACAGCAAGACTGATCGAAGTCCGTGAATGCTGCGTCCAGGGATCTTCAGGTTACAGTGTTAAGGAGCACCGAACAGAACGTGAAGTGTCAACTTGGAAGTTCGAGGTGACAAGAGAGGAGCACTGGCAGGATATGATTGAGGATACTGGCCAGGAGGGCTGGGCTCTGACAAAGAAGCTCAGTCTGCCTAAGAGGCTTCGCCAGTGTATCCAAGATCTTAACCACCATGGTATCAAGGTCCGACACAAGATTAAGCTGACCGTTGCGCTCTGCAACCCCGATGGTCACATTTCCGAGGTAAGTTTCTCTAGGACTGTTCAGTCTTTTGCTTGCTAACTCATTAATTACAGCTCCGAGCTACACTCCCCGTTTCCATCTTCATCTCCCCCAATATGCCTCTTGACGAGGAGGGCAACCTTGTCGATCAGTCACCCTCTCAGACTACTGAGCAAGAACTCACAACCATCGCACCTCCGGGATACGGCGAGCACGTCCTCGATCAGCTGTACGAAGATGTCGACATCAACGGTTTCCAGACCCCTGGGTTCCAGTCTGGAGTCAACAGTCCCTTCTATGCGCAATCTCGCTCTGGCTCGGCCGAAAACCTCGCAGCCGCCCTCACACATAGCCGACCCGTGGCACCTGCTGCACTATCATCCCGACTAGCAGATGTGTCACTTGACCCTTCACAGCGAAACTCATCCTACACTTCGATTGGCTCCGTTGGATCAGCGGGATTCATGTCCCCGACGTCGGCTCCTCAGACCGCAGCTCCGCGATCGGAGCCTGCGTCTGCCGCTCTTACTAGGAGCAACAGCGCTGGCGATGACTCGTCGCGCAATTCATCAGAACATGTCGATCTGGACGTATCTGACTTGGCCGAGTTGAACAAGGTGCCGAGCTACCAGACTGCCGTGAAAACACCGGCACGCTCCCGCTCTGGAACTGGTGATGTCGTTCTCCCAGATTACCAGACAGCGCTGAGCGCTCCACGAACACCACCAGCGACTGATCACCCAGCCGATCCCTTGGGTACTATCTCGGAGGATCAGGCTGGTGAGGATCACCACATTCAGCATGTCTCGCGCCCAGCCAGCTTCATTGGCCGGTCCTACACAGACGATGCTGCTACCTACAGAAGGATGCACAATGCGCAGGGACGCAACCAAGTCTTCTAAGCAGACATATTTTCTTTTGTTTTTCTTTGGTTACGACAAACTAGGATTGAAATGTGCGCATGGGAAACGATCAAAGCGACATCAGGTCCGGGCGGCGTTTACTTGGTTCGGGTATTTATTTCTTGGGAAGGCCACAAGTCATTTGGGCACTATAGACTGGGTTTATCTTGTTGAAGCGACTTCTTTGGTACAGGATGGACTACGATTATCACTATCAGAATTGGAACCAGAACAATGCCTAGGGGAGAGGAGAGCAGAGCAGAGAGACGCCGTTGCATGTATGATGAATACCCCTGAAGCGAACTGATAGCAAAAATTATAAAGAAATGGATATCTTGGGCACAACGTCTAAATGCAACGTCTAAACGTGTCTAAACGTTACATGTTGAACTAGAACAGTTATCGTTGATGGAATGGAACTTGGAACACACCAAAGTTTGCAACGGGAATAGCCAGCATGTCGCCCCGACAAGTTTCTACAATGACATAACGGGCATGACGAGGTGGTGGCAATGGTTCTTTCTGGACGGAGCACGGTCTTGATCTGGCAGAAAAAGCTTGTTTGGTGATGGTGGTGGTGTGTTGGCAGCAATCAAGGGGCCATGTGAAGCTTGTCTTGACTTTGTCCACGGGAGATCGGACTTGTTAAGAAGACGACCGCAGGCAGGTCACGAATGATAAGAGACCCTTTTGTTACTTCTCGCGTCATGATTTTCCCAAATGTCGAGCCAAGATTCTGGCCTCGCACATGTCTCGATACTAAATTAGCACGTCCACAACCTCGGCGGTACGGTGCACCACTGTAAGGCCTAGCGTGACGTGCCACGGTGCAAGGGACCACAGGTTGTTGGAGAGAAAAGGAGGGGTTGACGTCACGACATTGGGACAGGAGGGTCTGGTGATGATTGCCTGGTGTTGACCAGGCTCGAATATTTCTGGCGAACGATGACGGGGGAGACTGTCACTGGGAGGAGAGTGATTGATATGTTTCCTGATTTTGCGCTTCGACGCTGTTTTTGCTCCGTTCATTTCCAATAGAAGTTGTTTGTGCTTGGGAGGGGATGGAGCGAGAGAGTGGAGGTGATGCAGGCCTCAGATCATTCGCCATCCATGAACAGCTGAACCTGGGAGTAGAGGAGCTGAGTGAAGTTCAGCTTGTGTTGCGTGAAGCGATGAAGCGAGGACAGTCTTTAAGAATTGCATCAAGACATAGGATCTGAGGGACGGCATGTTTGTGTAGCTATAGAATTGTTGTGTAATCAAAAAGAAACAGACAAACGTAAAGTCGAGCCATTCCCATCCCATCCTCACCGACTTGATGGTTCAGCTCGTGCCGTCCTGCACCTTCCCTCTTGTGAACCTGGTACAACGTCATCCCCACCTGCACCTGCCACTAAAACTCAACCCACTGACCCCTCGAGCTCGAGCTCCTCCTGGCGATCCTCATCAACGACGTCAAGATTAACCGCCATCATTCTTGACCCTGATCCTGTTCTTGGGTTGGCTGCCTCCCCTCACTTACAACTGCATTGATTTAAACCCCTCCACTTGCCCCCCACAACCTAAGAAGAAAAGAAGCTTGAACCCTTGACCGTCCGTGATACCCCTCTTCGCTTCTCATCTGCTTTAAACCTTGGGCCCCTCTCCCTACCAAAGGTTCCCTGTCTGCCAAGCTCCCCGACAGACAAGTCCAATTTCAACGACACGTTTCCTACTTTGCGACATTGTCCTTTTCTCAACGACAACGACACAACGACCGACACTCGCCCATCATGGCTTCACCGACGACTTCGAACCTGCCCTCGAGGGCCACCACTGGATTGAGCGCCTTTAGTGACGATGCTATTCCCGAGGTCGACCCTTCAACCGTAGGTTACCCCTTACCGAGGACGCGCGCAGCATGACTTGCGCAAGCTTGCAGCGGCCATGGAATGAATCCGGATCTTGTGGAAAAGAACCTGGGCTGATATTTTACTGGATAGACGGCGGGACTGCTCGCAGAGCGACTCCAGGCCTGGAAGCATGCTGTTGGCTATCTCGAGGAGTACATGAAGGCAATGGAAAAGATTCACGGCCACCACGCCAAAGAGTACGAGAAGGCGCTGAAGGTATTCCCATTCCTCCCCGATAAAGACGCCCCCCAGCAACCGAGTCACTGACTTGCTACTCAACAGACCATCTCGAATCCCCTTAAGGAGGGCCACCACTTTGACCAGAGCCTCGGCGGAATTGCCGGCTTCTTCGAGAATATGCGCTCCAACACCCAATCCATGATCAACACCAACATCGAGACCGAAAAGAGCATCAAGGGCTCTGTCCTCCCCGTTCTCGAGCGACTGCACAAGGAGATTAAGCACAAGGCCAAGGAACTGGCCCACGGTGCCGAAAAGGGCGCCAAGGAGGTTGAGAAGGCCCGTAACACAACACAGAAGCATATTGAGCTGCTCGGACAGCAGGCTGCTGCTTTCGACTCGGCTGGTGGTCACCTCAACAGCAATGACGACCCGTATGTTGTCTACCGTGGTGTTCTGCACCGCTTGAATGCTCAGGTCATCACCGAAAACAACCACCGCAACGACCTTCTCGCCGTCCAGAACAACTTCTCGACCTTTGAGTCTCATGTTATCGAGGTGGTCCAGCAGGCTTTCGAGGCATTCGTGCAACTTGCAGGTGGCCAGGCTGAGAAGACGCATGCCCTTCACAACGACATGTTGGGCTCGATCCAGCGAGTTGGCCCCGAGTTTGAGTGGAATGCTTTCAAGGACCGCAGCGCTGACCGCCTCGTCAACCCCAACGAGCCAGCCCGATCTGTCGAGGCTATCCAGTTCCCCAACATGGACCACACGGCGACTCGTGCCCTGATCGAGGGCTCGCTGGAGCGCAAGTCGCGCAACAAGCTGTCATGGGGTTACTCGACTAGCTACTACGTTGTCACGCCTTCCAAGTTCCTGCATGAGTTTAAAGACTCGGACAACAACCGCGTGGACCCCAAGCCCGAACTGTCTGTCTATCTCCCTGACGCAGTCATCGGCACGGTCCAGGGCGAGAAGTTCAGCGTCAAGGGCAAGGATAAGTCAAAGACAATGAGCAGCAAGCTTACTGGCTCCACCGAGCTACAATTCAAGGCGCACACGGCGGCCGATGCTCAGAAGTGGTTCCAGATTCTCTCAGATGTTGGCAAGTCGACAGCTCCTCTGAGTGTCGGTTCCAGCCCAGTTGGTTCCACGCCCACGTCGCCCAACCCTCAGGGTGCCAACGACAACCCGCTTGACAACAAGCTGCAGTCCCCCATCAGCCCGGCGGGCGAGCACAAGGCACAGGAAGCGGGCGTCGTAGGCGGCGAGGTCCCTGCCGCGACGAGTGAGAAGAAGGCAGAGGCAGCTTAATGAATGAAGTGAGGCGAACGAAGGGTGACAGCCATGCCATGGCATGCCGCGCGTGCGCTCAGCTGCTCACATCCGCGTGCGAACGGCGATATCTATACCCAGAGCCATGCATACATAGGCAAACAGAATCTTGCGCTGCGATTTGACGATAGCCCTCAAAGCAGGGCTAACGACAGGACACGTCAGGACTTGTTGCCGGGGAGGATTGCGATGATTTCGTCAGTGTGTCAAGGTGTTGATGGAAAGGAGAAGTTCGAGAACCTCGTGGCGGTTGCCTTGAGGTTGATTTACAATGGCTGGAACCATGCTCCTAATGGTCGACTTGAGCGAAACGGATGGTGATTGGTGATGTTGTTGGTTGCTGTTTGGTTGAGTTGTCTGATGAGGTTGTTGGCCTATACCTGGGTTTTTGAGCCTACCTACCAATGAAACGTTTGCTACAGTCTCGTTGACGCCATTTCAGATTTGTGCAAATCATATCTCTTCATCTGTCTCTACCAAGGTGAGTCCTCACGTGTCTATTACCCGGAGCCCATGCTACTTTTCTCTTGTCTCGGGAGTAAGCTTGTCATTCGCGGTAAGCTAGAGCCTAAGCCACCCCGAGCTCCCCGGTCAAGCTCTAGCTCCCGCCAAGCAAACATGGTGAAGGAGCTGATGCGCATACCGAGATTCAAGTGACGGATAGGACTGGGGGGAGGGGAACGTTGTCAAATCATGAACAGGTGTGGCTGCGCCAAGTGACGGCCGGGGAGACGGGAACTGGGAGAAGCTGACCCAAAGACGGGAAGCTATTAACGGGGCGACGATCTCAGGGTATTGGGGATGGGTTCGTCCAGGGGGTGGGGGTGTGATGGGATAGGATGCGTGTCACCCAGCCTGCTTCTGCTTCTGCTGCTGCTGCTTCTGCTGCGGGGGAGACAAGATGGTCACCCACGGTTGTGAGTGAGAATCAGGCTCTGGGCGAACCGCCGCTGGAAGAGAAAGAAGGCAGCAAGCATCACAAGATGAGGGGGGGAGACAACAAGAAGTGAGGCTTTCTCTTCCCACCCCCTTTTTCATGTATGACTGTGCGTTGCGTTGCGTTGCGTTGCGTGTACCTGAGATGAATCACCATGTGGTTTTTGTGATGGGAAGTCATCTTTCGGCTATTGACTCAGAAAACGGTTCGCCAGCGGCTGAGACAAAAAAAAGACAGGACGACGACGACAACGCAACAATAGACGCCGTACCGCGTGTTCAATGGTGCATTTCAGCTCTCTAAAGAGATACCAAAAAAAGAAGAGGAAAAAGAAAAGAAAACAGGGCGAGCAAGTGAGAGCCTGAAAAGAAAACCCGTCCACGCGCCCTGGTCGCCTTGCGGCAAGCCAACTCAGCGGCAGCACAGCTTGGCTGGGCGGGCATTCCTGAAACAGGGTTTTTTCTTTACTGTCAAAACGAGGCTCTGACGATGATCGATGAGTTGTTTCTTTCACTTTTTTGACGTGGCATCGATCGGTGTTCGTTGTTATATCGATGCAGTTTTTCCCACTAGTTCTTTTGCACATCTATATCATGTCACGTCTTCCCCCATGTAAACCGCACTTTTTTTTTTTTTTTTACTCTCCAAGTTACTCAATGGGAATATCGGGTATTGAAAACGAAGGACGGTTAATGTGTGATGGTACTCCGTTGGGCGGCAGGATGAGGCTGAACTGCCCACCACCGATAGGCTTGGCTCTCTCTTCCCCCTCTCCCAGGCTCCGGGAAAGGGCAGTTTCAGTGACAAATAGGGAGGTGGGGATCTGGATACAAGGAATCTCATTGATTCTTATTTTGCTGTGTTGCTTCCAGACCGTGAATGTGTGCGTGTGTGTGTGTGTGTGTGTGTGTGTGCACAAGTCCGCCTTATATCAAGCATCTTAGAAAAAAAAAAGTCCTACATATGCTCATGCAGAACAAGGGGGGAAGCACATGGTCAAAATCGAGAGAGAAGATGGTAGAAAAAAACAAGACAAGGTATGCATCCCGTCACCCTCCTTGTTGTGTAGGTCTGCCTCGTTGCTGCAGCCGCCTTAGAAAGCCACCCTCTTCGCAACGAAAAAAAACGAGGCTCTGAGAGTACGCGCGGAAACTGTTAAGTACTCGATAAGGCTCTGAGTTCTTTTTTTATTTTGGAAACACAAATCAGCTTTTTCTCCCAATAGGCTACACCCCCCAATCCTTGTTCGTTTTAGTCTTCTTCCGTTCTCCTTTTCTTTCTCTTCCCCTGGTTTCTTTTTTTTTTCGTGGTGAGGAACAACAGCACTACCACACAACACTACAACACCAACCAAAAGGAATCAAGAAAAAGGGGGAAAGGGAAACAGAAAAGGAGGAGTAAAAGAAAGAGAAAAGGGAAAAAGAAAGAAACATTCCATCTCGTCGCTGCACCTCAATGCTCATCAACTTTGCTACCATCTCCTCGACTGTCATCGTCCCAGGATAGAAAGACAGAATCAACTCGAGAAAACTCCCCTTGACACAACACTCTTTTTTTTTTTCTCCTCCCCTTCCTCAAAAACCTAAAACCAAAGTCTTTCATCTAGCAAGGCAAGAGATGATGGCGAAGCCTTGGACTGAGCACCGGCAGACAATCACCAAGCTGTACATCCAGGAGGGGAGGACGCTCGAGGATGTACGGGGCATTATGAAGACCAAGTACAACTTTGAAGCTTCGTAAGTTTCTCTACTATTTGTATAAACCCCACCATCAGAGAAAAAAACCAACTGACAAACACACTCAAACAAATAGCATCCGTTCCTATCGGCAACACTTTGACGCCTGGGAGATTGGCAAGTACAACTGCAAGAAACGCCAGCAACGTCGTCGCCAGTCCCTCAAGAGACCCATCCTCCCGTCTCCTCTGCGTTCTCCCCCAGCTCTCAGCAGTTCCTCAGAGACGTCTGACACTGGATCCTCTCCAGCTTCGAGCTGCGCTAGCCAGCGTTCTCCAGAGCAGCTCCCCCTTCCGGCTCTCCAGCAGACTCCTCGGTACGCGGCACCTCCATTCTTTGAGCTACCCGCGCTGCAGTCTTCGACTCTGCCTGAGCCACGCATCAAGGTCGAGAGCGGCGGAGGAGGGGGAACGGGCTGGAGAGACATGCCAATGTATCCCAGCGCAGCACCGCATCCTCCCCAGAGCGTGCTGCAATCGTGCGTACCCTCCCTAAACCCCCAAGAGCCTCTTCCCAGTTGACAAGAGTCCTTTGTCCTTCGTAGAAACGTTCACTATACCTACACCGACCCTGCACACTGGCATGTTCCACGGCCATCGCTGCAGCTGCCGCCGCCTCCTTCGACGTTTATCAGCAGCAATCACTCTTCGAACGAGTACTGCGGGTCTTCGTACCGGTGCGTGCCAGAGTTTCCTCGCCATGAGATGACATCGGGCCTACGAGCTCCAAACCTGTCCATGGTGAGAGGACATGGGCGCCACGGCGCCTTGCATCCACCTTCGGTGAACCTCCCTGTGAGCTTCCAAGGGGTTGCCTCAGGGTGACGAGTGTTGAGCATCAGTCGCCCAGCTCCACTTACACACTCGGTAAGAGATGGACAAATCAGAGAAAAGGCCTTTGGGTTAGAAGACGGGAGGAGCCGTGTTCCAAGACACAAACTCCACCCATCATTGGGTCACGCTCATTTCAAAAGTCACACAGTCAGGCAAAGATAGGCAAGGCTTGGGCAACATTGTGGGCAGTCACTTCCGGGTCTCGAGATTGATCAGATACGTTTGTATTATTATATAGCTTTATTCTCTTCAGCTACACTTACCGTTCAAATCACACGCTCTTTTACATTCCAAGGCAAAGGCGCACATTGACACCAATGGGTTCAACACGGGAACATGTTCCTATGAGCAAAGGAAGTCCTTGTCGGACAGTGACCAGAGATCTGTCACTTGACAGAGCAGATGGAGTGAGCTAGTCATAGACTACCAAATTGGAATCAACCTTTCGAATATGTTAGCGACACGTCGCAACAACCATGTGAAGACATAAGCAGGTTATGTAAAGGGATTTTCAGGGTAAAGGTGCCTTGTCACAGGCGTTATCGTCAAAGCAATATGGCTACGTTGACCGTCGTGATAATTGTAACATCATTTGAAGGAGAGATGGTCGAGGAAAAGAGAAAAGTGACTAACCTTGATGATCTGCATCGCAAACAGCCAAGAGTGTTTACAGTCAAAAACGCTTTCAACATGTCAGCTGCTGCTGTTGAAAGGACTGCAACAATGTTGACATCAAGCATCTCAATCAGGCGATAAATGATTTGTCGTCGTAGCGTGAGCTCGGACATATGCTTGTCGTTTTCATTTGGATTCATCAGGGAGATGATGATCTGGAAGACGGCTGGCGTCTGGTTGCAACTCACATTGTAGGTAACTGATTCGTATGTTAGCCAAGATCACCAATTGGCTTCAACAAGAGTATGTATGAGGAATGCGGATCAGGTAATGCATGAATGGTAAAGTAAGATGGTGTCTGCATCGGAAACCCGGATAAGACTCGTCATCTAGAATCATCATATGGGCAAGGTGTCAAGATGTGCAGCAGATACTTACAGTCTAGGTATGTCATCCCCGAAGGAGGATCCGGTGGGAGAAGATGTGGAAATGCTAGCACTCGAGGCATGTTAGCCTCAGAAGTCCAACGTTATCCAGCAAGTGATGAACGAGCGTGTCTAGTCAGTGGGCGAGGTTTTCTAGGCCTGCCGCAAAGTGGCTTTTCGTGCTCATGTGGTATGTTCGGAGCCCAGTGCCGCTTCATCATACAAGTCGGGGGACGGGTCGAGGAGAGATGTCGCATACCTTGCTAGAAAAATCTTCAATCATGTTAGCATGAGCCACCAAGTGCAAAGCAACAAAGGTAGAGAGTTAAGGTGTCCATCAGAAATAGCCATTTTATATCGTCAAAGTTTGATCTCAGCCGGTAATTTCCAGCGTATATTGTAAAAGAAATGATCATCACGAGAAGGGGTGTGTGGTTGTGTGCGAGCGAGGTTCAAACGTACCATTTCAGCCCATGTTGGGCGCTGGGAGAAGATCGAGCATCCTCGCAATGATCCACCGCTTGGTGATGAGAGGTCTGTAAAGCAGTCAGCACGAGTCCAAAGCACGCCGATGCGAAAACGTGTGCGTAATCGTAGTCTTTCAGACTGACGTGTAAAAAAAGAGGTTTCATTCCATTTAGGTCAAAGACTCTAGTTTGCGGTGTAGGTTGTCATCAGGAAGGAAGGGAAAAGGCAGCGCGACGCACTGCGCATTCAAAACATACCTCTGCTTCTTGATTGTGTTGTTGAAGATGGAAAGCTTGTGAGAAGTTGAAAGATTTCGCGAGAAAAAAGTTGAACAAAATGCACCAAGAGTGGAGTTGCCGGCTTTACGTTTCTCCGCCCGATCTCCCGGCCACCGTCAACTGGTCCACTTCTCGGCGCAAAGAAGAGATTGAGCCCGTCCAAACCAGCCTCGCCAAATAAGAGTAATTTTCAAAGGTGGATTTGGCCAGTTTCTGTTACGAATATTTATCAGTTACGGGGTAAGGAGTACGCAATTGATTATGTAGTCACATGTCAAGCCTGGAGTGAAGGCTGCTCTATTCACCCATGTACATCACGTGATATCGCGTTGCCTGTACGCCCTTCGCGTTCAGCTTAGGTCAGTGACGCTACGAATCGCGCCTGGTGCTTGTATCAAGTTATAACACTCGTAAACTAAAATTTGTCTATCTTCCAAGATGCCCGAGATTGCCGAAGGTTGGTTTGAGATCCATCGTTGCAGCTAATCAGTTGCTAAAATCGCCCAGTCGCGCGCATTGTCCACTTTCTTCGTCTTCACGTTGTGGGGAAGCGCATTGTATCCGCTTCAGCCATAGGCGACAAGAATGTCTTTGGCAAGGTTGGTACGAGTGGCGAAGAGGTTGAGGCCGCTCTCGAAGGGAAGGAGGTATGTCACTTTCAGCCAATAATCGGCAGCTTTGGAGTTGACATCTTCAGATCGTTTCCGCAGGGAGCCAGGGGAAATACTTCTGGTGAGTTGAGTTGAGCCAATAGCTACCCTGTGCAACACCAACAACTCACCCGTGATCAGGATCACTTTGGAAAAACCCCCGCACTTGGTGATGCACTTTGGAATGACAGGTAAATACTCAGTTTTAACGTGGCTGCACATTTGCTAACTGGTCTAGGGTGGATGCACATCAAGGATGAGAAGACGGCATACACAAACTACTACAAGAAGATGAAGGACAGCGAGCTCGAGCAGTGGCCGCCCAAGTTCTGGAAGTTCCAGTTCAAGACCGAGGGCTCCCCTGGAGTTGAGGTCGCTTTCACAGATGCCCGTCGATTTGGTCGTGTGCGGCTGGTTGACTGCCCTGGTGATCAGATCAGAAAGTACTCCCCCCTCGTTGAGAACGGCCCTGACCCGGTGGTAGACCTCGATCGCTTCACCGAGGACTACCTCCGAGGTAAGATGCGCGCACGCCACGTCCCCATCAAAGCCCTGCTCCTGGATCAAGCCATGATCAGCGGCATCGGAAACTGGGTCGCGGATGAGACCCTCTACCAAGCCAAGCTTCACCCCGAGCAGTACTGCGACGAGTTTGATGACTCGCAGGTCACTACGCTCTACAAAATGATTCGCTACGTTTGCCAGACGGCCGTCGATAAGCTCGGCGATTCAGACGAATTTCCCGAGCACTGGCTCTTCAACTACCGATGGGGTAAGGGGTCCAAGGGTACAGCCACCAAGCTGCCCAACGGTGAGAAGCTCGCCTTCATCACTGTTGGTGGGCGGACCAGTTGCTACGCGCCTGGTGTGCAGAAGAAGACGGGACGCACCCCCGCTGGCATCAAGGAGGAGCCGGTCGACGCAAGCCCGTACTTCGAGGAGCCCAAGAAGCCGCGAAAGAAGCCGGCGGATTCCGACGAGGAGGTGCGCGCACCACCCGCGAAGAAGAAGAAGCGCGGCATGGCGGTGAAGAGTGACAAGGACGGGAGTATCGCAAAGAGTGAGGTGGCAAACGAGGCTGAAACCGACCTCGGCCGAAGAAGGTCAGCCAGACTGCGGAAGTAGACGCTGGCCCGGTCAAATGTTGCAGCGCACCAAGGGGATGCGCTTTGGAAAGGCCCCCCTTTTTTTGGTTCATGATAGACGCGCAAAACCTTTGCGAATAGCTCATCCTTTATATAGTCACTTCCACCAGCAAGCACACACTCAAAGACACCATGTTATATAACAAAATCCCTCACCCTCCATCTCCTCACCATCCCGCTGAACCCGCTCGCTGTCGCTTCTCTCGGAATTAAACCGCAGTCGATGATGGAAGCGCCCCTATGAAGACACCACGAAAAGCAACAGAGGGGGGCCGCCTCGGCTATGTATCTAGTTACGTAGAGGAGGTCACGAATTGGGCCCTCCTTACAGGACACACAAGCCAATGTAACGCAGGCAAAAAAACTGGTGGGTGTCTTTGGTGATCAGGCTGGCGCTTGTCTCGGACGGCACTCGCAGCGCCATTTACTCCCATAGAGTCTCAGAGAGCAGGGATCAACGCTGGAATTGTCGACTTTCCCATCAATCAATAACCATCATCTGAATGGATGTTGATGCTGAGAGACATCCGAGCTCCTGGACTCTCTTCTCTCCCCCACCACGTCTCAGGCCGTCACTGTGTTGGTGGCTTGGTAAAACCCACTCACACACACACACACACGACCTTCCTTTCTTCGGGGAGTCGGTCTGGCCACTTTCCGGGCGCCTTGCAGCTCAGTCCGGGTCGGATGTCCGAGTGACGAGGGACGGGCCGTGGGAAGCGCCGGTAGCTCGCTGAACGTGAAGCGGGGGGCCTGATTGAAAGAGTAGAATACCCAGCCGAGTCTGTTAATATGACTCTCCCTCTTCTACCTCTTCTACCTGACTTCTACAGTCACAGAGAAACGCCCACGGCTCAGAGTGTATCCTCTGACTTTGGAAGCTAGCCAGACAGCGTCCTCTCCTTCCCCTCGCACCTCCACTCTCCCTCCGGACTACTGACGCAGTCGCCTTGAAGCCCAAGGCTCGATCCAATGCCCAAGGACCGAACAATGCCTTGTTATTACACTTCGCTATCGACCCTGCCGTTGACTGGCCCTGCCGAGGACTGACTCTGATTGGACCATTCTGACTTGAGCCTCACGAGCTTGCTCCTCCCCCTCTCCTGGAGGAGACACGGCAAACGATGACAGGAAGATGGAAATGTCTGCCTGACGTCTCTTTCCTCCCCTGGTCAGTGAGTCCATAGCCATTGTTGACATCCATATTTTATCACCCAATGACGCTGTCGACAGCAGATCCTGGGCCATCCCGACCCCGAAATCTTGTACGCTGACCGCTGGACTACTTCCGTGCCCAAGCTACTTGCTCCAATGGTCTTCCAGGGTTGGAAACTGAGCCTCAATACATAGCAAAGCCCTTCTTGTCAACTCATTTTTGCATTCGAGGCGACAAGATGCCTTGCTGCCGCCTCGCACTTCGCCATGACCCGGCTTGCATTCAGTGGTGTGCCATTCCTACTTATTTTCTCTGCACTTCGACTTCCCCTCGGAGACCGGAAAGCTCGTTCCCTCTCTCTCTGGTCAACTGCTCAACCTCAATCCCAGGCTACGTGAAGGGGGTTGGTGTTCTCAAAACACACCACTCGACCTCACCCAACCCACGGACAAGCCTGTATAAGCCATCTCCTTTAGGCTGTCTCTGCCCTTGCTCTCTCCCCAGACCAGGTCTTGTGCGGGCTAGGGATTCTGCAGCAGACAGCCTTCCTACACTGCAATCTGTCAACGCTTGTCTCTATGCCTGGGCCCAAACCGACCTTGTCCTTGATCAAGCACCGGATACTCCTCCATTCGAAGCATCTACGGCCCCCTATACAACTTGCCTGGATCCCACCAAGTTACTCTACTCGACGACAGCTCAACGTAGCGTCGCCATCTATCTACAAGGCCCTCGATCCAATTACCTAGGTCCGTCACCTCCTGTCTCTACCAGCGACTCACCCTTTCTCACATGGGTAGACGTCCCCGAGACTACGACCCTGACGGGCTCGAGAATAGCCGCGAAAGACAGAAGCGACGCCAGATCGCTCCGTTGCGCAGAGAGGCTCCCACTGCCCCTGAAGAGGATCCCACGTCAACCGCACTGCAACCGTCACGCTCATCCCGGATAGACATGGCGGCTTCAGTACCCAACAGCACGCATTATGCAACCTCGGTGCCCCAGACAGGTCCAAGCTCCAATGCCAACACCAACAGCGGAGGTCTCTACACAACTATCGGTCGAGAGCATGATGAGACATTGACAGAAGCTCTAGTCAAGATCGTCCCTGGCAGCAAGAAGGTGGGGATCATCGAAGACTGTGCCCGTCGACACGATTTACTTCTCATTCGGCGCCTTGAGAATAAAAGGAGGTCTATTGTAGAAGGGCCGCAGCCAACAGACAGACTCCGTACCGACTACACGACACAGGTCACGATTAGACATCCTAGCAGTAGTGATCCGAACGAAGCGTCCCATATGACAGCCGATGTCTGGACTCCGGTTCCTCACAGACAGCTGCCCTATGATGTGAGGCTTCCTTCTAACCAGAGGGCGACCTTCTGTAAGTCAGTGAATAAGGGTGAGTACATACTTCGCTATCCCTGACAATATAGAGTAGTGCTGATACCATGGCAGAAGAGCAAACCCCTGAGCAGCTAGTTGATGAGGGTGAGTACCTACTTCGTCGTCCCCAACAATGGAGACCAGTGTTGATACCATGGCAGAAGACCAACCCCACACGCAGCCAGTTGTTGTCCGTGGACATTTGTTCATGGACGTCAATGGTGACCAAGACTTCCTCGCCCTTCTCAAACACAGGGAACATGACGACATCTCGAAGGGTGGCTTTTGTCGACTATGTTTCGACATGGCACTTTTGAAGGAAATTATTTGGCCGAACTAGCCATAATGATACCTCTGCTTAAATGGTATCCCTACCTGGTCTGGATTTCCCCGACTTCACCTAGTAGGCGAAAGCAGGCCATTCAACAACCACCGGCAGTTCGCACTACATCATCTTATCAACTAAGGAGGCGACTTAGGAGTGTTGTCAAGACGCCAATCAACTTTGCGTCCCTTTCCTATGTTTTGCTCTTTTTTATATTGTGCGCTTCTTATGTCTCTCTTGCATATGTTTTGGGTTGGCAGACCATTGGAGATGGTACGAAAACCCCCCCTAGGAGGAATAAAAGCACAAAAACATAAGAAAATAAAAAAGGAGGACCTGATGTCAGGTCCCCGCTCATATCTTGTTTGCTCTCGTGCATATTGAGAATGTGACATGTCGAGGCGTACCCATGCATAACAAACGAGACAAGGGACAGTAACCAACTCCTCTCAAGAGCTGCTCCGTTACGGCGAATATTGCACCAACACACTAACATGATGAATGAGAGATGCCACTGGAAGGTGAACTCAAACAGTCTTCTGTCCATTCCATTACTGTTGTCATCGTAGCTTTGCAGTGAGAGCAAGAGAATGCTCACCGGTCCTCCAGCCGGCCGGCCGAGTCATCCGGACCCGAGCCGGCGGATGACATCGGCACAAAGCAATGTGTAAACGGCCCGCTGAGTCTCCCCAGAGCCGTGACCAGTCGGGTGCTGCTGTACCTGGCCCGCCCCGGTGTACCGACTCTTGGGAACTGGGAGGGAGCCTACTACCTAATGGATGTATGTATGGCTGTCTGACCAACAGCCAACTCATCAAATGCAGACGACATGTAACAAAGCTGGGCCTTGACCGGTTCCTTGGTGACGCCGTTACATCCCAGACCCTGGCGATCGCGATGGCTGACAGGGAGTCGTGAGGATCGAGAGGCTGCCCACTGCCTGATGCAGCGTCAACCCATGGCTAATTGCGCGCAGTGGGGTTTAAATTGGAGTGAAATTTGACCAAGTTGAAAGCTTTCGATGAAATCCTGCTCGCCAAATAGAGTCTGATTTTTCTGTCAGATCCTTGTGATGATACAGCAAGCCATGCATCTGCAGTTCCATCGCTCGTCCTTGGCTCCATCTCCAATCCCCCCAACAATATCCTCCCCTTGTTCATTCTCGCCTGTGAATCGCCACGAACCGCGAGTAGAGTCACAAGACCCCCTCGTACATCTCCAAGAAACCTGAAAGTTTTGCCCAAAACGCCCGAATTATTCCTGCGCCCAAGGGCGGCATCTAGTGTAAATCATTCCCTTTTCGCCCATGCCCACGTAGTAGTGACTCCCAAAATGTTTCGTCATCCGAGCCCCGTCTGCTGCCAAGATCTAAATTCGTGTATTTCGTGGGCGTGAATCATCAAAGTATGATAAGAGAATCAAAAAGAGAAATAACCGAGCTCTCAGCCGAAGTGAAAAAAGAAACGAGGTTCCGCCCTCTACAAAATAATGACCCGAACACCTTAGAGTGCTTCCATTGATATGATCTGGTCTGAATGTCGTACATGGTAAAAAGAGAAATGGTTGTCAATGCAAGGGGTATCGTATGTATTCGTAAAGCCTGAGAGCAGCGAAGTACCGAGACCGTATAAGTAAATCCTGACGCCGAGGGCTTCTTTGAGTAATGTTGAGAGATGAGTAGAAAACCGATCTGTAAAAAGTAGTGAAATCAAACATTTGCGTGTACGTAATAGCCAAAGGTTGTTGTGTTTGGTGATAAGGTTGGGCTCCTGGTGTGGTGTTGCGGAGCCACTATCCAATGTGGAACATGGTATCGGATCAGACGAGGGCATTCAGAATGCTTCGCGTCGATTTGTTGTCCTTTAAGATTTTAATCGGTCTCACAAAGGAAACCAACGCAGTATTGAGCACCGCTGTTATCCACCGGAACTGGGATGATGGACAAGAGGTTCTTGAAGGGCTGACCGTGCTTCTTGTAGTTGGTCACGGGCAGCTGAATCTCCTGTCTGGAGAACACGGCCTGACGCATGCGACGGATGGCAGACTTGTCAGAGCTCCTCTTAGAAGCTCGCTGACCTCCTGGAGGGGATTGCAGGAAGCGACAGTTGCGGCCCATCACCTCATGGGAAGAGTAGCCGGTAAGCTCGGAGAAGGATTCGGAGATGTAGATGATGGGAGCGTCGGCCTGGAGCATGTCACAGACGACAAGGGCGACAGAACAGTCGACGGGACCGAGGTCGACCTGAGGGTTTGGCCGGCCGACGATTTTGAGCTGGGACAGTTAGTAGCTGAAACTGTCACCGAGAAACAAAACTCACCAAGACCGTCATAATATCAATCCCGCTGGGAGCATAGAGACCAGGGTATATGACGGGATCTTGAACTTGACGCCAGGTGGTAGCTGATGCTACCACGGTGCCATCGGGGTTTAAGGAGCCCTGTTCGGGAAACTCATACTGTCGGTCAAGTCAGTGCGCTGTTCGTTCAAAGTCAACTTGACAAGATACTCACGTTGAGGGCGTTGATCTCCCATGGATTCATGGTTGGCGGCGCCCTGGGCGCCATGGCGGACTGACGAGGGGAGGATTGCCGTGAAGAAGAAATGTTCCGAGCTAGTGAGGGCGACAAAGCGTGCATTGAGGCTGCCATTGCGAGTTGGACTAGAACTGGACTGAGGTGATATATAAGTCGATATTCCTCGTCTTGTAGGACGAAGCAGTAGGTGTGACGAGCAAAGGTAGCAGTAGGATCCGTATGAGGCGGAAGGCAGGGTTGGATTGGGACAAGTCGTAAAGGCGAGATGCGAGAGGACGGATGAGGATCAGAGGAGAGAGGTGCATAGGCGCATAATCAGCCAGGTAAGCAACGACACGTCTAGGATGCCGGCTTGATATTATCCCCAGGGCGTGTCAAGTGCGCAGAAAAGAGCCAAACTTGCAGCTGAGAGACATCGACACAAGAGAGGGGACCCTTAGGTGAGGAAGGGGGGTGTGGCGAAAGATGAGTGCAGTGGGCTTAGACAGCAACGTTTCTTGTCATGCTGATGTTTCTGGGCATTGGATCCTGGGTATCGCTGCAGGACGAAGGATTAGTTGATTTATTGGATCCTGGGGAGAGGAGACTGACATGATGCAGCTTGATGGTGAGTTCTTGCCCCATTACTGGAATGGTTTTCGCTGTCGCTAAATGGTAATAACACAGCTAATAAGAGGGTATGCGCTGTTTAGACCAGGCGGTAGACACGAGAGGGCGAGTCTAGACCGCAGAACTGGGGTGTGTAGAAATGCAAGATGGGTAGGGGGAAAACTCGATCTCCTGCTCCCCCGAACACTTGGTCAGATCGCCGGCCACAGCCTCCGGGCCCGGGATCGGGATCATCGGTGAGCCCCACTGCGCTTGGCGCCGACACGCCGGATTGGCGGACTAGTCTAGGTCCAATCGAGAGATTCAGAGGTACATGTGGCTTTGGCCGTAGATCGGTGCATCGAGGTTGTACCTCTGATCGTGTCATCGACAAATTATAGCTCTAATCGGGGTTTGGCAACATGCTGCCTTCTCTCAGCCGTTGCCAGGTGGCTGGGTTCTCACGATCGAAACACTTGAATCTATGTCTTGCCAGTTCACAGCAGAAATAAAGACGCTTGGCCGAAAGGAGAGCTCAACGCGAGTGGTTAGTGGTGCAACTGCTCAGGATGGCAATACCATCATGTTGACGACTCGAAACTGCTTCCAAGGGAGAGAGCAGTCCTGCAGGAACGGACTGCTGAGACGAAATTGCAGTCAGTCCGGACTCAGTTACCGCCTCGCCCGACATGCGTACGGCTGATGCTGTAGCCGATGCACCAAGGTTCAATCGAGACAAGTTTGATGGTGTTTTGGGGCGATGGCTTGCCGGGCCATCGATGCGTGGACCCAAGTCTTTGGTCCCGCGATCACGCCGCCATCCTGACCCATCAGAGGCATCGGAAGTTTCAAGGAAATGGGTCCTCTATCACCGATGGGGCCATGCATGAAACAAAGTTCCTCACCGTTGGTGCGCTCTGGCCGAGCATCGAGATGGAGTGACAGTTGCCGTGCCTGGCAATTTCTAGCTTGGCAGGCTCCAGCAGCGTCAGCAGTGATGCCATGATTCGATGAGGCCTGCAAACAGGATGACCGTGCGGTGGGGATGAAAAGATCGGTCTGATGAGATGGGTTTTCAGACCCGTGACAGCTCACTCTTCCCTTGAAACTGTCTCGATCGATAGTTGCTGCAAACAGGCCTAGCATGGATGTCTCTGCTTTCATCCTAGCACCATCACGATGCAAGCCATGTCGGGGCTTGTCCAGGGAGGCTGATGAACTGGCAGACACGGACAAGACGTGCCGGGATATCGATGACGGTTGCAAACCAGATTCGGCCAGTAATGGATGGACCCTGATTGACAAGGAGGTCCGCCTCTCACCCAAATCCAAATCGACTATGTTTTGAGTTTGGACCCTGGCGTGTGGCAACAGGGATGTGCCGCCATGAGATGGATGGGTGGATGATCGACTTTGAGGTCCCGTGACACGACAGTTTGAGGCCAACTCATGCGAGGTGGACATTAATATTGGGACATTTTGGGTGTATAATATCTCAAGACCTGTGTCCATTATTTACTCAGTGCACATTCAAGCCGTTTAACCAGAAATTCAACAAAGAATGGGAAATGAAAATATCCATAGAACTCCCCTCGCATTCTTTCAATTCACATTCGATTTGAATTTTTCCGAATTTTGTCGCTGTGGCATGCCAAGTTCCAGTTCTGGATGTTATCGCCTACTCGCCGTTAGATCCCGTGACACGACTCTCGGCCGCGTTCACTTTACACGTGTGAGCTGCCGTGTCGCGTCGCACCCTTCTCTGGCGCATTCTCTGCGGGACAAGGACCAAGCAAGACAAAGAAAGCCCACGATGCTGACTCTTTGCAACACCGTCCCATAATCGACCTCTTCCCATTCGCAATCGCCATGTCCCGCAGGCTCCTCAATCGCTCCGGCGTCTCCTCGTCCGCGACCGCGACCACGACCACGGCCTTGCCCGAATACCAGCCGCCTTCTTGCCCCCTCTCGGACGCTGCACGCCGCGATCTAAACGACTTGTCCCACGCCCGCACCACCGTCATCTATCAGCAGCAGCTCGGTGACTCCGTTGGCCTTCTTGGTTCTAGCATTGGCGACCTGCATGAGCAGCTGAGGGAGCAGCGTGATAGACTTGAGTCCTTGCGCGCGAAAAGGCGAGAGAAGGGCAATGAGAAGACGCCTGATGAGGAGCGCCTCGAGGCCCATGTTGCCGATCTCGAAACGCAGGTCAATACCTTGACCGATCAATTTGAGGAGGCCATCCGTGCCGTGATCGATTACAAAGCCGAGCTGGAAGATGAAGGCCTCATCATCACTGATTTGTATAACGCTGCTGCTGCCGATGTAGCGCAATCCCAACGCCGTCCCCGTCGGGGTGATGATGATGCAGAAGCTGCTGAGGAAGCAGATGACGATGTCGATAGTAAAGACCTCGCCGCCCCGAGCGTCCTGGAGCGCTTCAAGGACATGCGTGCCAAGAAGAAGGCGGATTACACAGCCATGAACATGCACCAGCGGTACGCCCTCAACAACGACTACGCCGGCTTCAAGAAGCTCTGGCACGATGCCATGGCCGGCGAGGATGGGCCACCGCTCCCAGACGCCTCACGTTGGTTCCGCCCCGATGGCCGACCTGTGATGCGCGCGACGACCCCTGGCGCGGCGGATGATGATGACGATGATGACATTGCTGTGGCCCGCGAGGTCCTTAGCATAAACTGCCCGCTCACTCTGCAGCCAATGAAACAGCCTTACAGCAACCGCAAGTGCAAGCACACTTTTGAGAAGGCCGCTTTGCTCGACTACTTGCCACTGCGAGGTGATGCTCAGTGCCCACAGACGGGCTGCTCAGAGGTTCGTTCACTCCTCATCTATCCCACTCTTGAATGCCTTGCTAATCTTAAAACAGCGTTTCTCACGGTCACGATTCGACCACGACTTCTACCTTGACCAGGCCATGGTACGCCGTATCAAGCGCGCCCGACAGGCCCAGGAGCAGCACGATATGGACGAAGACGATGATGAGGGCGAAGAGGACGAGGATGTTGTGGTTAGAGGCCACCAGCCAGTCCCAGGAAGAGTGCCCAAAAAGGAGAGGGTGTAAAAATCGTCGTGCGGTCTTGGATGTGGAATAGAGGGAAAGAATACGGCGGCGTCATGGGGTAAATGACTTTGCGATATGAGGATACGATGAAATGATACCCGCAGCAGACTTGCACGCCGAGGAAGAGCGAGCTGCTGCATTACAGATCAAACATGGGCCTCGCGGCCAATTATTCTGGGCACAATGTGAGAGCAAGCAGACAACTCGCATGTAGGACCAAGAAGCCTTGACAAGTCACCATACATACCACCGCCTGGAGACCAAGACATGAGGTTAATATCAGAGATATGAGACATAAATCCGAGTTGAATGACATAAGCGTACATAGATATCCTATACAAGGCCTTTTGAGTTAACATGACACCCGGTTGAGAGACACAAGAGCGGGGAATACGCTGGGAGTGCAAAGACGGAGGGGGAAGAGTGAGGGCGTCCTCTGATTTGTCTCATCCTTCTCTTTTGACTGCCACTGTTTTCTGGACGCCAGAACAAACCCCGGTCTATGCCAAATACCCCATGGAATCAAGAAACAGATATAGCAAAATACATGTCAACAGATGAACCAAGCCGTTTCGTCATCCATCAAGCAAGACTGCCGCCACATGCCGCGTTACTAGGAAAGATATGGTGGTGGATGATCCGCCATGCCTCGCTCCAAACCACAACCACAACTTCATCAACCCTCTCAGCTACCGTTGGTTTCAGACCCGTTGGCTTCAAGCTTGCCCTCAGTCTTCTCAACGTAGGCAACCAGGTCGGCGATAGTGCACACCTTGAGCCCCCACTTCCGGGCAAAGGCGATGCAGGCTTCTCCCCTCAGCATGCCGTGGTTGTTACGAATCGCCTGGCCAGGTGCCTCCTCACCATCGTCAACCATCTCGCAGATGGCGGCAGCCTGGACCTTGCCGGCGAGGCGGCAGAACTCGGTGGCGGCCTCAGTGTGACCTGGGCGCTGACGAACGCCACCGGGACGGGATCGGAGGGGGAGGATGTGACCCGGGCGGCGGAAGCTCTCTGGGCGGGCGGCGGGGTCGGCGAGCGTCCTGCAGGCGAGGGCGCGGTCGCGGGCACTGATGCCAGTGGACACGGAGGGGTCGGCCGAGTCGACGGAGACGGTGTAGGCGGTTCCACGAGGGTCCTGGTTGTTGGGGACCATCTGCGGGAGGTCGAGGGCGGTGGTGAGAGCTGGGGAGAGAGGTGCGCAGACGTAGCCAGAAGAGTGACGGATGAGGAAGCCCATCTTCTCGGTCGTGACGTCTTGAGCGGCGATGATCAAATCTGCCTCGTTTTCACGGGAGGGGTCGTCGAGGACGACGAGGAACTCGCCATTTCCTATGCGCAGACACGTTAGAGAAGGTTTGGGAATCGAGGAATAGAGTGTCGCATACGGAAAGCCTCGATTGAGTCGGGGATCGAGTCGAATTGGTTCTGGGCGATTGTCGCAGGCATGATGAAGGATGTGAGAGGGTTACGGGTGGTAGATGGAAAAGGAATTGAGCGCGGAGGTATAGGAATTGGCGATCAAGGGCTGATAGAGCAACGCGTGACTCTTCGACCTCGGCTTGAAGGAGTAGCAGTAATGCGACTAGCAATGCGACGCTTTGCGATGGGCAAGTACACGAGGAAGAGCGGGCTCGGTTCCGGAGGCGGAGACGGAGGGCGGCGGGGAACTTTTTTTCCAACTGAGGGGAGGGGTTCGGCCCGTGATCTAAAAGACAACAACGAAAGCGGTGGAAGGAGGATGGAATTGAGAAAGAGGAACAACTGTAGAATCAAGTGATTAAGAAGAGAAAAAATTGTAAAAGACAGGCTTTAGCGGCGCCCTCACACATAATAACGAACGACGTGCTTCCACCTCGCATGATTCAGACCCTCTCTTTCACACTCATCCCCCTCCGCTCTCCGGCTTTCACCTGCTCGGTGCCGCGCGGTGAATTCCCGGCTCTCACACTATTAAAAACCCCGGCTTACCCGGACTGAGCCTAGGCCGGGGGAACAACAACACGGTTCCATCTGCTTCGCTCACATGTCTGGGGCCTGGCAATTGGTTAGGTTGTCTTGCCTGGTTTGGGGTACACTGGCTCTAGCGGCCGTTTTGGTTTCCCCCGTCGCGCGGTTATTATGTAAGCCAGCTGGAAAACGCAGTTGGAGTCAGGAATTGCGAAAGCATCAGTCAGCGAGAGGATGAAAAAGAGCGTCAATTGCGGCAGTAGTGGGACCGATGACGGAAAGAGAGCCGAGTTGTTGAATTGTATCTTGTCACTGGATAATCGATTGATTTTCCCGTCTCGAGACCCCACTGTTCGTCTTTTTTTCTCCGGCGGGCGGCTTTGTCATCCTCTGATACCCTCGCACCACAGACGTCTTGGGCTGGTTGCATCACCAACCACACAAATCCTCCTTTCTTCTCTAACCACCAACCATGCCGGCTCCGTCCCGGCCGGCGGGTGCCTTGCTCCGAAGTCTGGCCCGATCGGGTCGACGGCCAGTGTTATCATCGGCCATCCCACCACCCTCCCTCCGCATCATCGGCACCTCCGTCGCAGCGCCAAGATGGAGCTCTACAACCTCCTCCAACTCCTCCTCTTCGAACTTCTCCTCCGTGAACCCTGATGAGGTTTCACACTTCAACGCCCTCGCCGCAGACTGGTGGGATCCCCATGGTTCTTCGCGACTCCTTCATCTCATGAACCCTCTTCGTCACGACTTTATCCGCGCCTGTCACAGTGCCCAGGCCGATGCTCCCGCGACGACCGATCTTACCTTTCTCGATATCGGCTGTGGCGGCGGCATCTTTGCCGAGAGCGCCGCGCGACTGCCGACGACCCGGCGCGTCACCGCCATCGACCCTACCCCCGAAGTGCTAGCCGTAGCCCGAGCCCACGCCCGCAGGGACCCAGGGTTGCGCAACAAGCTCGAATATCGCCAGACATCGATTGAGAACCTACCCGTGCCCGCGACACCCGAGGAGGCCTATGATGTAGTCTCTCTGTTCGAGGTGATCGAACACGTCGATGCGCCGGCCGCATTCCTGGAAAAGGTGCGGCCATTCGTCAAGCCGGGAGGCTGGCTTGTCATGAGCACCATCGCGCGAACATGGATGAGTTGGTTCACGACCAACTTCATAGCCGAGGACGTGCTGGGTATGGTACCCAAGGGGACGCACGACTGGAACAAGTACCTCAACGAGGAGGAGCTGCGGCACTTCCTCGCGAACCAGGGATGGAGTCATCCCATGGTGCAGGGCGTCGTGTACGTGCCAGGCTTGGGCTGGAAGGAGGTGAAGGGCAGCGAGAAGGTGGGCAACTACTTTTTCGCGGTGCGCAAGACGGGAGAGCTGTGATGGGAAATGTGATATAACTGTATAATCTACCTTTGGTGTAACGGAAAAGGCGCATAGATGAGGTTGTACTCTGGTATTAAAAAACAGTCACGAAGTTCTTGCTGTAGACGCTACCAATGCGATATCTGAAACGATCAACAGGCCAAATTTATAATTGGCTCGGTCGTATTCACTCACGAACCATAGCTGAGCTGAGCTTTGGCAAGGGAGACATCACGTCATGGGATCACAATCCCAGTGATGGCTGTTTCGGTTGGTAAGATGTGAGATGCTTCTTCCTAGGTAGGCAGTCATGATGAGATTGCAGGCTCTCAAGAGATTACTTGGGGTACAGCATGGTCGGGTTAATTCACTTCCATTCCGCTCTTTGCTTACTGCAACCGTCGTCAAACATCCGTTGCTACGCACGGCGACGGGCCGACCCCTGCTGGAAACATGTGCCGTTGGAGATTTGCATCCATTGCAGCTAACGATCAGCCGCACGTGCAAGGTTGATGAATTGGCATGTGCGATGAAGTGTCTTGAAGAGTTCAACCAAAGAGAGTGGGAAAAAGAAGCTAAGAAAGAAGAAGAATCCTTTTATAAGCCATTCTAGCCATATATATCGACGCCAGTCATCCACCTAACTTGTCCAAGCTTCACCGTTGCTTCACCATGAACAGAGCTCGTTCGTGTGAGCCTTACGAAGCTCCCCACATGACCATGGGCCAGCCACTCCGCTGTCTCTAGGCGCCGATCCCCACTGTAACCCCAGCGCTCAACGCCCGAAAATCCCCCTAGAGGGAGGCGATGCAAGGCACAGACGATGGAAGACAGCCAGTGAGGGGGTGTCAGCTTGCGCGTAGCTTCCTTCCTTCGATCCATTGTTGGCAGAGCCTCGTTTATTCTCCCCTTCATGTACCATCCGACAAGGCTTTTTCTTCCTTTCCTTCTTTTTACGTACCATTATCCCTTCTTTTTTCATCTCGTTTTTTGCATTTCTGCTTTCCTCTCGCTTTACCCCGTGTCTCGGGAGCTGTCTCTGTCTCAGTCGCTTGTGTCGTGTCTCGTCCCGGACTTTTCATGTCTCTCTACAGCATTGTTTTGTTCTGTGATGCGTCGTCGTCAGTTTGCTTACTAGCCTGTTGTTGAATGACGACGACTCCCACCACAGAATCTCTCACCACCGGACACACTCGACCGCCACGCCAGACGTTGGCCGCCTGCCGTTATGGCGCCTCCCCTCATCTTGTCCCTCTCTCTGCATCTGCATCTGCGGCTTTTGCTCTTAATTCCGCTCCTCGCATTCCATACTTCGGCGCAATTCATCCCTCGCTCCGACGCCGAGGCGCGCAACCTCACCGTCGTCCGTTCACCTGCAAACCGCAATGTCACAGTATCTTATAAAGTCCCCGAAGGCGCATGCGCAACAGCTTTCGATTCGCAAAAACAGTACACGGGTTGGGTTTCGGTTCCCGGTGACTATCCAACCAATCTATTCTTTTGGTTTGTTGAGGCCCGCGAGAGAACCGAGAGCCTCACCATCTGGCTCAATGGCGGACCTGGGTCTAGCTCCATGTATGGATTCTTCACTGGCAATGGACCCTGTGAGGTTGTCGAGAAGGGCTTGGATGACTACGACACTGTTGCTCGCGAATGGGGCTGGGATCGCGCTTCCAACATGCTCTTCATTGATCAGGTGTGTACAGCTTGGCTGGTATCAACTTACAATACTGACCAGTAACTATTCTAGCCTAACCAAGTAGGCTTCTCTTACGATTCTCCCACCAGAGGCACCACCAACTTTGCTCGGGGCACAGTCGAAGTGCCTCCTGTGCCCAATCCCAATTACCCTGAATGGGTCTTCCGCAATGGCACATTTAGCTCTGGTGATAGGGAACACACTGCCAACACGACCCAGACGGCTGCCATGGCGGTATGGCATATGGTCCAGGGATTCTTGACTACCTTTCCACAGTATCAACCTTCCTCGCGCGGTCGAAACAGTTCTCTCGGCATCAACCTCTTTGCTGAGAGTTACGGCGGTCGTTATGGGCCCGTCTTCGCCGAGACCTTCCAGGAGCAAAACGTCCGACGCCAGAATGGAGAACTACCGAGCAATTCAACCATTGATGTCCATCTCAAGTCGCTGGGCATCGTCAACGGCTGTGTCGACATGGAAACCCAAGTGCCCTTTTACCCCATCTTTGCCAGCGAGAACTCGTACAATTACAAGGCCATGTCTCCGACCGATACCAGTTTTTATCTCGACAAGTATTCTTCCGAGGGCGGCTGTCGCGACCTCCTTCATCAGTGTGGCACTGCTGTCAGTTTAGGCGATCCCGAGGGCGAGGGCGACGAAGATGCCGTCAACACGGTGTGCTCCAAGGCTAGGGACGAGTGCCTCGACATCCAAAACGCCTACTTCAGCTCAGATCGAGGCGCTTATGACCTGGCTGCCCCTTACGCGGACCCCTTCCCGCCAATGATGTTCCAGGAGTACCTCAACCAGGCTGAAGTGCACCGTGCCATAGGGTCGCCTGTCAACTACACCATGTCCAATACCAATGTATTTTACGAGTTTGCCGAGACGGGAGACATCGCTCGCGATGGCAATATCCCGCGCCTTGCCGCTCTCCTAAACCAGGGTGTGCGGATCGGCCTCATGTACGGTGACAGGGACTACATCTGCAACTGGATGGGTGGTGAAGCCGTGTCCAAGAACATCGCCCAGGAAGCAGGCAATGCGTACAGCACCGGTTTCCCTGAGGCCGGCTATGCGCCCATCATTGTCAACGAGTCATATATCGGTGGTGTTGTTCGTCAATTTGGCAACCTGTCCTTCAGCCGCATCTACCAAGCTGGGCACGCAGTGCCAGCCTACCAGCCGGAAACGGCGTTTCAGGTGTTTGCCCGGATTATAATGGGAACGTCGGTGTCGACGGGTAAGGACATTGACGCCGCGTCGTACAACACGTCGGGTGACGCAAACGCTACGCACACGGATACTCTGCCCAAGCAGATGAAGCCAACATGCTACGTCCGCGACTACGGTGGCACCTGTGACGAAGACGCGCAGCAGCTGGCCATCGATAACGATGGTGTCGTCATCAACGGCGTGCTGTACTCGTCTTCTGGGGACTGGCCTCTCAATGCCAAGACTACCACGGAAGCCAGCACAGTCACGGTCACGGCCACGCCAACGAGTGACTTGACAGGCGTGTTCACGGCCACCGAGACACCCGACGCTGGAGCTTGGAATGCGCCTAGGCCTGGGATGGTGGTGGCCTTTGCTGGCATGGCTGGTTTTGGAGCCATGATGGTTTAATTTCTACTGGTTGGATAAAATATAGGCGTTGGGTTGTTTTGAGCAAGGGACATTGCTCATGGCAGCGTGTTTTGGGGTTTTATCATGATCCCGGTACCTACATGTATATAAAACTAATGATTTCAAGACGATACCAGATATGACAACATCTCGCTGGCGTCCATTGCTGCTGTGTAGAGGGCCTCAAACCCTAGCCCGCAGGTTAGGCCTCATTGTTGGACACACCCACAGGTTCCATGAAAGGGTCGAGTCTGGCTCGCTGAGAAGGTCTAGTCAGCCATGTCTCAGTAGTGGGTTGTCATTCGGCTGCATCCTCAGCGGACCGCGGATCTTTGGGTTGTGAGGGATCTATCTGGCTGAGAAGCTTGATGCTGCCTTGGCCAAATCACAGCTCTGCCGCGCCGTGGCGTCAATAGGCTCACTTGGAGAATCGAGATTGGGTACAGTCCTGCTTATCATCAAACGCCTCCCCGGTCCCGTCTCGCTCATTGGTATCCATTGGCTTAGCTAGCATCGCTGAAGATCCCGGCTGGGGGGTGAAGAGGCAACACATGGTGCAGTTCATGCACCAGTCAGCTTGATACAACCATGTAAGCGTTATTCTCTCTACCTGGTATTACCCCTATTGTAGATCCTTTGCTCCCCCTGCTCGGCTAGAATGCCTCGCTTGCAACCTCCCCAAGCCCTTGACAAAACATTCGTTTCTTGTCGTTGATACTACATAAAAATGCTCGATAACTCAAGTGTCGAACCACACAAACTATACCAGGAGGATCCTATATCGCTGTCGGGCTGGGAGATTGAGCATTGAGGGTGGTTGAGATGCTCCGGAGTAAATTTGGTGCCATCGTCTGGTGGACAAATGGGATCATCTATAGTTGAACATGTCGATATCCAAGTTTCAGGGCTCATTGACATGAAAGGCGGCGCTGTGAAGCACCTGTCAAAGAGGCCCTTCCCAATGAGAATGTCCATACCCACGGGAAGCAACTTTGTGCTCGCTAGGTTTACCGACACGGGCGACATGGACATGCCCATCGAAGTGCGTATTTCGACCTTTGCCCACCACTTCAACTCGACTGAGCCGAGGCAAGTCGACGAGATGGAGCGCGAGCAGCCCGGTGGCATCGGGGCCAGCGACATCCCTAGCCGATGGACTGTGTCCTCGCTGACAAGGGATTGTCTTGAAGATAGATCAAGATGGACTCGGACGTGTTCCCAGCCGCCCCCTTGGTCGCGTATCTGGAAGCCCGATAGTTGATGGTGATTGTGACAGCCATGTTGGGTCCAGTCCGCATGCTCGTCACTGATGGAGAAAGCAGATGTCGAACACTCCTCTATTCGGTTCACGTGGAGAGGGCTAGAGGATCTTGGACCTCGCCGAGTGTCAAGGCCCTCAGAGGCTGGTGGCGTGTGATTCCTCCTCGGTCTGCAGGTCCCAGAAGTATCCTCCTTCTCCTCGGTGCATTCATCACCGATAAAAGCCTTGACGTATTCGTCGAGTGACAGGGCGGCAGATGACTCCTGACTATCAGACGAAGAGCTGGATTGCCATGTCTTGGACCGTTCAGAACGATACCGCCTAGAGACCATAAAATCGTGCTCCAGGTTTTGCACAAAAGCCTTTCTCAGGAGAGAGCGTGTGTCATTACATCGGTTCTGGAAATATGGGGGCTGGGGATTTCGTCGACGCTTCATGAGTCCTTCGATATGGCACATCTACAGTGAATCAGTCTCTCATGGTGAGGTTTCATTTCTCGTGCTCTTCCAGCCGAGGTTCATGTTGAGGAGGGTGAAAGTGAGGCTGTCGAGGGTTACAGAACCAACACATTATGCCTCGGACACTGGTAAACGTACAATACAGGTGAGAACAAGTCGCGTCAGGGGTTGAAAACCTGTTAAAAGGTTGGTGACGGCCACGGGCGTGTTCCAGCTCATTCAGCCTGGATCCAATTGTATCGAGTCCAAGGTGTTTTCGCTAGGTAGGCTTCAACACCGGCAGAACAAAATTTGGCCCTTAAACTTGGACATGTCAATTGCACAATGGAAAACTTGCATCAACTGAAGATGACTCCAACACTAGAAGAAATGATTCGTTTGTAGGGTTGCACATTGCTGCACTTTTGTTGCACATTGCTCCAAGTTGAACTAAATTACAATAAAGATTTACATCAGCTGAAGATGACTCCAATACTAGAATAAAATGATTCGTTCGTAGGGCTGCACATTGCTCCAAAGTTGAACCAAATTACAAAAGGCACTGACGCAGCTGAGATGGTAATATCCAATGAAGGTCGCGAGCCGTTCCTCAGACCATGATTGGTTAATAACCTATGTACCTGATTGGGCAGTCATCTTTTGCAACGCTGTCTCGGTTGATGCCAAGCCTGTTCGGCATGCAGCCACTACCATGCAAGATGCAGAAATGATTCCAAGTTGTCCTGGCAAACGCCCACAGCTGATCTAGGAACTCTCAAAGTGCAGTTTTTTGCAACCGTCTTGACGCGAATTGCCCGTCAAAATCCGGTTGGTCCATGTCACACACACCCCTTGCTAGCTTCTGTTTCAAGGCCCTTGATTTGCTAACGCATAGAGAGGAGGCTGTTGGTGCTCACTTAAATGATGATCAAGGTCGGTCATGACTTGGTTATAACGCTGCACAGGGCTAGGGTGGCGGGGGCCTCGGAGCAACTCGACAGAAACAAGACAACCGTATGGGGGCCATTGCAGGTAATTCGCTGAGCTGATAAGGTGCATCCCAGATGTAGTTGGCCCCCCCTTATACAGACCGTCCCACGCCACTTCGAGGCCCCCCTCCTTGCGCTCAACTGTGAAATAGAGCATCATTGTAATTACAAATTAGCGAAACCACAGCGGTCAAGTCTATATTTCAAGACCGGGTAACCCATGGACCATGAAGACTTGAACATCAAGACAGACCGACCAGATCCATTCTCTACACATAAACAATGTCTCCCCAGCCGTCTTTCCCCCCTTACGAGGTCTCCCTAGTATCCATCAAATCCCCTAATCACACTATCACCTCCAACCTCACCGATACCGAGCCGTCCTACCACTCTCAAAACCCCAACGTACTACACCTCACCAACGACGGCGAGTCAAGCTTCATCGGGCTCAATTACCTCCAAAAGCTGCACGCCGACCAATTCGGTCCCGACAAAGCCCTACCGGAAATAGACGCCAGCACAGAGGTGCAGCTCCTCTCCCGATTCGCCAACACCGACGAGGCCCAAGTCACGACCCATCGAGTCTTGTACGGACCACGTTACGATATTATATTTCTCAGGCATGACTGGGAGACGCCGGTACAGCAATGCTGGATGAGGATGAACTCGGGACACAAGTCGAACAAGAGGTCGGGTCAGAAGAAGCCTCGCAAGCAACAACAGGTTGCGCAGCGGAGACGACGTGCGGAGGCCCTCAGGCAATGCAATGCCATGTAGAGAGCCTGGAGTCGAATATGGGACTCTGACAGATATATACGGAACCCAATTGACTTGTTTTTATCACCATGTTGTAATCACGGCTTTGTTGTAGGCGTAGTTTATAGGCGTAGTCTGGAAAAGGGTCGGCTTATACGTAAATATTTAACCGGGCATACATTATTAAATATTAAACCATTTTCTAATCTTCCCATAATCTTTGTTTCGTTCAATCTTTATCCCACATCGAGCAAGACCATATTTATTCCCTCTCACATCCATCCCAGGTGCTATGCTTGATGCTTCGTCTCCCCCAACAACTTAACAAACTATACATCCAAGTCACTTCATCCGGGTACCACTTGCGTGTCAGGTGGCCACACCATTGCCCCATATGCATAAGGCCGATGGCAATATGCAAGTCAGTTGGTGTCAGATGCAACAACCATCCCAGGCAGGGGTCGTATCGGACTACGCCGTGTAACCAACTTCTTCCTTGTTCTCGTAAGATCAGCCCTGTAGGTTATGTATGTCAATACGCTACCGATCTGACAGGTCGGGTCGGCTCCAACGGTTCTTTGTATCGGGTGTAACTTGTCATGTACCGAACGCTCCTTGAACCATCTCGCAACTCGGCATCCGTCCACAGTCAACACGTTGTATACAGTGCTATCAATGTGTTCTGGCAGCGTACATGTGCCAGTTTCAATATTTAATAGCCTCTTATATCAGTTAAAAACGTGTCGGATGACCGGGAAACTTCGCTGTGGCTCGTGGTGGCATGCCTGCTGACATGGGTGCTTGATCATCCCGGCCCGCCGGGAAGAGGGTGTGTTATGCCTTCACCGGCAGGCAACATCGTAAAATTATCCGGTTCCGTATATGTACTGCAGATATTTGCTCATTGAGGACAACCTCTACACCACCTTCGAATGTGTAAGAAGGGAGTCAGGCTCTGGGGGGGGGGGGGGGGGGGGGGGCGTCTATCCCATCTTGAAGCTGTCTGTTACAAATACGAACGCCTATCCCACGCCGCGCGTTGACAGAAACAAAAGATACGACCCAGGCAAAAGCAGGTGCAAAAACATCAATAATCATCTGGACTGTGTCGTCTTACACAAGGCTGGTTGGTACATCGCCTCTCGATTCGTTCTTTCAAGGCTTTGAACCACACACATTGTCAGCATGGCAAAGATCTAGGGTTCAACTTGTACTTGATTGGATCGTCATACAGAAATGCTACAACAGGAGTATGCTGCATCCACGCGTTGTGCGCGAACGCGTCGAGCTTCGTAAGTCTCCATTCCTCCATCATGACTCTACAAGTGTCATACACTAGCCCCCAAAACTCCGCCCGGCCATTGTAATGCCTCCAAGAAGCGAAGCCTGACGAGGCTATGAACAAAATGCAATGGGGCACATGGAAACACCTGATCATCATGAGATGGTATGCTGATGACACTCAGCCCTTTCCAACTGGGCAGGCACCCATCCATTGTCAACTGGTCGGCCTCAATAACCCTGAAAATCCGATTTGCTGCTCAGGCCATCACTCTGTCGAACTGCCCTTTCTACCAGCCAACTCCATTAAGCCATGAAGTCGTCCTCGATGCTACCTCGCCCACTCGGTTGGTTGAGGTTCAGCCTTGCTGTCCCATCCACAATATCTGCAGTGTCCTGCGCTCCCGGCGCAGATGTGCCCGAACGAACCTGGACCTTGACCTCTCCCTGAATACCGTCGACCCTTATTGTTGACACCGTAGTACCTCCAGGTGGAGGTCTCAGGTTGGGTGGTGGTGAAAGATTGACGAGCTCGCGGAAGAAGTTATTTGCTGCCTCACACCCATCCAACAACCACTTTAGGCAGATGGTCACTCGCTCTTTCGCGAAAGGGTTGTGGTCGTCGTAGGCGCAGCAGTTCAGCAATGGCACTATTCCGTTGTACTTGACCATCTGCATCTGCACATCAGGGTTGCCAGGGCTGCTCTGTCCAGGAGGCGGCTGCAAAAGTGTGGCGATGATGGTGAAGATCTGACCCTTGATTCCAGACCAGGGAAACTTGTGGGCTGGTTCTTGCAAAGGTGGCGGTGGTGGCGACGGGGGAAGACCATCATCTGCGGTAGAGTATGGACGTTCGACCATGGGGTTGCTACCAGTCTCGTTCCGAGGTGATCGCTTTGGAAGTTCGATGAGAGGTTTCTTGGGTACTCCAGCCTCAAGTCCGCTCAAGATGGTGATGAGATCGTAAACAGCCTCCCACTCAATAAGCTTGGCCCGTGTGTCCATCATCTCGGCAACCGTAGTAAGGAAATCGAGATACTGAGCGAGACCATCCTTAGCACGCTCCATATCCCAGCTGTCCACGGGAAAATCACCCGGGTCACAGTTCTCTTCCCGAATCTGAGCTTGAAGATGCATGAGCGCTGCGCACTCGGGGACAATACGGCTCCGGAAGAAGCTGAAGAAGAAATGCACCAGCTTGATATCCCGAGCATTGTCCTTTGACTCCTGGGAAGAAGGATTGTTGACTCGGGCTCTAAACATGTGGTTGACAAGTCGCAACAAGACAGTCTGTGCAGGTGAGATGATGTCCTTGGAGATGCGCAGAGAGTTCCACGCATAGGGAATCAAGGCGCTGTGATGAAGTGCCTCCACAATCTGAGTTGTCACCTGGAAAATGAGCGACTGCTCATCCTTCTCCCAGACGGCGATAAAGACTAGCATCTCCCGCAGAAGACTCTTGCCGCAATCGAGCGCCAGGAACATGCGGCATCGTGTCTTTTGCAAGTTTTCGCCCGCCCTGGTAAGCCCAGAACCAGCATTGTCCAGAATACAAGACTTGACAATCATGTGCAAAGCCTCAATTTGCTTTGGATCCAAGATATTTGGTACTTCAGTCAACAAGCCAGTCAACGGCCCCTCTCCATAAGATTCGTCGTCATCGGCATCTTCATCGTCCATCATGTCTTCAACATAGTCATGAGCATACTCGTGATCATGGTGGTGGTGATGATGGTGATGGCCATGGTCATGGTCGCATTCGCACTCGCATTCGTGGTCATCGTGGTCATCGTGGTCATGACCGTGTTCGTGGCCATGATCGTGTTCGTGGTCGTGATCATGGTCGTGATCATGCTCATGATCATGCTCGTGCTCGTGCTCACAGTGATGACAATGCTCATGATCAGAAAGCTCTTCTTCCTCCTCCACAACTCCAGGCGGTGGAGAATGGTCTGTTCCGCAAGAGTGAGCATATCGGTGAACCAGGTTGTTGCGGCAGTGCTCCGTACGTGTCTGGGCAAGCTCTACAGAGGGCATTCCAGCCACCCAGTCTTCGTAGTTGGGGTCCCGAGCATTAAGCCACCATGTGTCGATCTCTCGAGAGACGCGGCCATACGCGCGGTCTTGCTCGAACTTGTCCGACTCATCTGGCTTCCAGATCGGGTTGATCTTCTCCTCAGGATTGGTCATATCAGCTGGAACATCCACAGAGCCGTCAGGGAGCCAGTTCCAAGCCAAGGGTCGAATAGGAGCGAGGTTTCCAGGAGGCTTGTCTGCGTAATTCTCGGCGTAATCCTTAAGAAGCTTCCTCGCAGTATCACACATCTTGGAATTGCGATCAAGCCAGTGCTGAACCTGACGTTTTGCGACATCTGGGCGGAACCCTGAGCCATCGCCCATAGCTTCCTCAGGGCCAGAGAGCGCACCGTCGTCGTCAAAGAGGACGTCGAACCAGAAAGACATCTTGTTTCTATCATGTTTGGCTGTCCAGTTGTGCGCCTGTTGTAGTGAGGTTACAAGCAGCTTCTTGTCTAGGGCGAGTTAGTTGAAGGCCATCTGGATGAGTAACTGGAAGGCCAAACTCACAAAGTTCTGTGACATCGGTCAACTTGAGCCTCTGGTTCTCGTCGATAATCTCGCCGTCGTATCCCTTGCTGGTAACGTTGACGCAGAGGATGATTGTCTGGTAAACCATTTGGTCGAAATGCACCGCCGCGCAGATATCTTGAGGCACCTCGGGCTCGGCATTAACGAGGAGGTTGCGGGCAATGTGCATGAGCTTGATGAGGATTCCGAGGTCCTCCTTGATGGACGCATGGTGGTTGACGATGCAGGCCGTACTCTCCTGCGGCGTGACGCCCTTTTCTGGGTCGTTGAGACTCGACAGAGGTCCCACAGATCGAGTCGTGAGGCTTGGGATGGCAGCGGCAAAAATTCTAGTGAGCCAGATCCAGATCCCCACATTCCTCGAGATTGCCTCACTACAGGCCAAAATCAGTGATGAAGCTCTTTGTGGGTGCGAGTCACTTACCGAGCCTTTCGCAGCGTGTGTGTCTTTTCCAGGGTCTTTGAGATCATCGCGCTCACTTTTGCTGATGTTTGAGGTCCCATAGGGGGTGACTGGGTGTAGTGGCCCTCGAGGCAGATGAGGGCGGCCGAGAAGCATCGCTCCTCGATGGTCTCCCCGGAGCCATCTTCTTGAGCCTCTACCGGTAGGCTAACATAATCGGGTAGGCGTGTCATGGCGTCCTTGTATGTCTTCAATATGAGGACGGCTGATATCAAATGTGTTGCTGGTAGTTGACCGGATGTTGTGGTGACCTAAGTTTTGGCGGGGCGCGGAAAATTTTGGCCGGCTTGGTCAGCACCTGAGGAGAACGACGAAGTAGCCGTGGTAGCCTGTAATTCACAATATGCGATTGCCACTTTCCAATGTTATTGTTCTCGACTAAAAGCAAATAGAGTTATGGCATCGGCAATCAGTTATTATTTAGGAGCCTGTGTGATTTTCTTCTAATTGCTGAGATATGGGCACTTTGATGACTCGGGCTGGGGATGCGACTTAACCTACACACATTCATACAACCGGCACATCCGGAGTATCAACGTTAAACCACCAAAGCGACAGAAGGCTTGTAAGCACCCCGCCAGGAGTAAACTCACGCCGTACTTCTGTGACAATATGAGATGTATAGATAAGTAGGTAAGTAGGTGATATCAAGATCGAAAAATACTCACAAGGAAGAAGAAATCCAGAGTCTCGCGATGATATCATAACCTCAAAACTTACCCTGAAGTGCCAACGCAACTTCCCCAAGCCTTGTCCTCGTTGAACTCGAAACCTGTAGGAACATTTCCTATTGGCCCCTGGAAAGAACTGAACGTGAGAAACCTTATTCTGTCCTATCGATCCTGTTGTAAGAGCCATGCACGCGTTCGCAGAAAAACATAAGACACAGAATCAACGATCTTTATTTTCCGAGGTAAATAAAAGTCCCTAAATATAATAAATAAAATACTCAAAGATTTAGTATATTTTCCCCCCCTCTTATCTCTTATTTAGCTCATAATTAGATTACTAATTGAGTACTCTTTATTGATTTAACTAAGCGTAACCGTCTGTCCTGCTGTCTCAAGCTTTTATACAACCGCGTGCCATGTCCCTTTCAAGGTCGATAATGCCCAACGTGCCGAACCAATGAAAGAGCCCTGTGAGGCCCACGACCCCTCCATGGAGCACGCAAGCTTGGGACGTTATCCATGGTGGGGTAAAGGTTCTCGTCAGCGTCGGGCACGAGAAATATCTGTGTCCCCCTCCAAGCGACGACAACAACTTCTTTCCTCCTCATCGACGCCGTTCTCCTCTCCCCGACATCGCCCCTAGCCCAGCTCCGAGCCCGCTCCTCGATTACAGCCGCCAAGATGGGTGACCTCCCCACGACCTTTGACAGTGCGTCCAACAGCCAGCTCCTTCACCGGATCTTCACCGAATAGGCCGAAGCGCAAACTGACACGTTCTCTCAGAGCCCGTCCATATTGCCGTCATTGGCGGCACTGGTCTTGGCCAGCTCGAGGGTTTTGAGCCCATCGCCGCCCTCAACCCCATCACACCGTGGGGTGCTCCCGCGTCGCCCATCCAAATCCTCTCCCACAAGGGCGTCAACGTAGCCTTCCTCGCCCGCCATGGCATCCACCACCAGTTTGCCCCCCACGAAGTCCCCAACCGAGCCAATATCGCTGCCCTGCGGCATATCGGTGTCCGATGCGTCATCGCCTTCTCCGCCGTCGGTTCGCTGCAGGAGGAGATCAAGCCCATGGACTTTGTAGTTCCGGACCAGGTCATCGACCGCACAAAGGGTGTCCGCCCCTTCACCTTCTTCGAGGGCGGTGTTGTTGGACACGTCGGCTTCGCCGATCCCTTTGATGCGGGCCTTGCCAAAGTGGTCAAGACGTGCGCTGAGCATATGGAGGGAGACGGCGTTGTCTTGCACGAGAAGGGCACGGTCATCGTCATGGGTAAGCAAGACATAGATCCCTGCCGAGAAATCTGGTCATGATCTGACGAGTAACATAGAGGGACCCCAATTCTCAACCCGCGCCGAGTCGCACATGTATCGATCGTGGGGTGGATCGGTTATCAACATGTCAACCCTTCCCGAGGCGAAGCTCGCCCGCGAGGCTGAGATGGCCTATCAGGTGATTGCCATGGCCACTGACTATGACTGCTGGCACTCTTTCGAGGATGTCAACGTCGAGATGGTTGGAAAGTACATGAAGGCCAACAGCAAGAACGCCAAGCGCCTAGTGGGAGCCGTCCTGGACCGTCTTGCCGACCTCGACAACAGTGACTTGGTCCTGGCCAAGCACTGGCAGGGTGCGTCCCAGGGCGCTGTCAAGTTTATGACCAAGCCCGAAGGCCGGGACCCCGAGGCGATGAAGCGTGTCGAGTACCTCTTCCCTGGCTTCTGGGAGGAGTGAAGTAGGAGCTGGGATTGGCTAGAGTTGAAGAAACGCCAGACTTCTGGCGTTGATGATCGGGCGTTATGGGTTCAGCGGCAGAGAAAACATGGATGTCTGGCATGACTTGAAGTGAAACCACCTACCTCAACTGTGGTGGCGGCTGGGAATTAGATTATAGAGGAGATCCTTGTGCATAGACGTTGAGGACTTTCGGGATCCAAGGCCGGACTTTTGTTTCTGAAAAGCTGCATACGAGCAGCCCGACTCGAATGCTCGAATGCGCCTGTGACGCCGTCTTGAGCACGATCCCGGGAAGACAAAGGTGTCGAATGACCCCTGGTCCTTGACAAGGGGTCCTCTTCTCGCTGGGGCCAACCTCCAGATGGGACCGAAATAAAAGTCTTTCAGGCGCTTCAGTGTCTGCTGCGAACCCTTGACGTCTTCTTTCCTCCTCTTGTTCTCTCAGAGCCTGCATGTGCCAACCGACGTGGCTTTTAATGCGGCTCTCGAGTTGGCAATGGCAAGGCCCACTGCGGCGCATGCATTGTGTTTTTTGTTCCATGTGTTTGCGACGGGGTATCGAAGACGAGGAACGAGTAACTTGGAGAGCAAACACTGGACGCATCTTGCAAGGGGACCAAGCATTATGGCGTGAGAAGAACGAACAGCATGAACCAAGGTTCTGCAGAGACGGCGCCGACAGGGGTTCCTTCGGGTTCCTGGAGCGTTAGTGAACCTCGACTCGGCAACGGCCCGTCCTGGATGCTTGTTTGCCGGGGTCCTTGACTAATTGCGCTTGGCATTTCTTGCAGCTCACATTAGTGTCGTGGGGAAGTGAGGGCAGGATTGCAACGACATCCATGACACCCTCCGGCTATCATGGACCTTCGATTTCTCATCACTGTGCCCACACCCACAGCCAACAGCGGGATTCCGCTTCAAGGAAAAATTCGATGCACCTCTCATGTTTGTCTCGGTTGGTTGACAGATCGTGTGTCAAGAAACGCCACCACTTGCACAACATCGTTTGACGATGGGGGATATAACCAGAGGGGCATCTGCCGCGCCTATGAGGTCTGGAACTTCTTCTCTCTCACACCTCACGCCCTCCTTGCTGCTGCGTGCCCTCTGCACGCAGGCGCCGCTCGCGGGGGCTGAATCAACAATAACTTATCTCGGCCGGGTCCACGGCCCAAATCCTGCAGCATCAGGTGTCATACCTGCTCCGACTCCGCGGTCCGCCCAGAGTTGCTTGTTGTCTCCCGCTGTTTTCTCTTTGATGCAAACCAGGCACGCCCCAACAGCTGGGGATTGGCGTACAGACATGAGTGGATTGATGACATTGCCGAGGACTATGTCTAGGTTGGGGGCCTCGGAGTTGAACATGCCCAATGAGATGCTTGATTGATGACAGGGTCCAGAGCCACGGCAGCTGTTATCGTTGCTTCGTGAAAATCACCGTCATCGATGCAGGAGACATCCGTATTTTGTGTGTCCGTCTTGTCGGAGGCCCCGTTTTCCCTTCCTTGCTCATGCCTCATCCCACAATCCCCATCAACGGCCTGGGACCAGCGGCCGGCAGTGTCGACGCGCGTAGCTGCAGAAGAGCGGTAAACATTGGGTTGCGGCGCAGCACAAGGTATACATGGCAATGAGAAAATATGCCGGCGGCCTGGGTCCGTCGTCTCCATTCCGGCCCGGAGCGAATCGGTGCCCGAAAACTTGAGAAACTGGCCAGTTGTCGGCCGGGGCACCTTGGCTGGATTAGGAGACCGAAATGGAACTTCGTCCCGGACGCGGAGCCAACGCCCACGTCGTGCCAACACCGCCGCCGAAGACCAGACCCTCACTGGCTCCGGTACCGAGAGCAGCGCTCGGCCGGGGAGACGGCGCGGTCTGAGCGACAGACAGAAGCAGAGGCAGCTGAAGAGCGTGACCACAGTCTTGCTCATGTCTCAATGCCTGGTGTGTCGTTAGTGTTGGTGTAATGGTCAGATCACCATGTCTGGCCAGTTTGCTTCTCTAGCTTCGCCCGTCTCCAGCCAGCCGAGCGCAAACCCACCAACTGTGGGTTAGGCCTGGTGCCAGGCTGTAGCGACGGCGTCTCATAGTGTCCACAACGTCAACACTAAAAAGTCTTAGCATGCAATGGCGGCCTTCGTGCCGTGCGCCTCTTGAATCCGGCGTGAGAGCACGACCCGTGGGCCATGGCTCGAGCTCTTGCTGATTGTCAGCCGACTCCTTGTCTGGTTGTAAATCAAAATCTGTTGATCTATGCCAGCGCACGATGTTGCTGGTTGCGGGTTTGCGAGCTCGAGCGATCGTGAGCGTGAGATGAAACAGGATCTCAGTGGATTGTTGCTCATCCAGTGGTTGGCTGGTTGTGTCAGATTCGAGTCGCGTGCGCACTGCGCAACCTGTGCAGGCTTTGACCTCCCGTGGCCTCCATCTCGGACAGTTCTTGGCCAGAGCGGTCCACAACTGTGCCTTGCTTAACCCGCGTCGTGCATTTGCGCTGCCAGGTGCTGTCAATGCTAGGTGCTGCAGGCACAAATGGCCCTTGGACAGGCTCTCTCTCATCTGCCGGTCTCGCAGTAGACTGAGCTGCAGTAGGCTGCTGTCAACGCCCGGCGTCAAAGCGGCCGACGAGACTATCACCATGGGCAAGCCCCGATGATCCCTCTGCACGTCCATCCGTCGACACGCCCTTGCACATTACAATGCAATCCCATCCTGCCGTCTTGGAAGAAGATGGTTCGCCGACAGAAGGAATCCTGCCGGAGAAGCAGAGCCTTCCGGCAACCAAGGAGCGAATGGGTAGCTTCGCTGAGGATCGTCGGTTGGAACTTTTTAGTGGGTGTTAGCTATCAAACCCACGTGGCGTGTGACGCTCCGGAAAAAGCAATGCAAGGCGAAGACCGCAATGAACGCCCACCAGCCTCTGGTAACCCATGATGCCACCGGGTCGTGCCATCTGTCGTGTCTGACTTGCTGGAGAAACGGCCCTGGGATGAGCGTGCGTGCGAGGCTAGTAAGCGATGGCGTCGGGGGTTGCTTGGGTCAGGTATTCTTGAGTACTGATAAGTTCGGTGCACTGTGGTGATGCTGCCATCTCATTTGTCCATCACAATCGACAGAAATGCACCTCTTGGAGCCGGCGAGGTTCTGGGGAGAGCGGCAGGCTGTTCCGTCAAATGAGGAGAGCAAACGTTTCGGTGGTGGCAGAAGGTTTAGCTCACCAGCCGTCAAAATGTCTTGGATTACGATGGGCTTTTACCTGAGTCAGCCGCGCTACTGCTGATTGGGCGGTTACCGTGATTCCAGCTGTCGTGATGAACTGTTCCTGCTGTTTTTGTTTTAGAGTGGATGCTGGCGATGATCAAAACTCCCCAAATGAGGTTGGCGACAACGGCCCAGGCACCAACGTTGACTAGCTCCAGGTAGGACCGCATCTCGCGCTCGGGCATCTCCATGATATTCCCGACAGGGACACCGGACGGCGTATCCGTTGAATTCCGGTTCGGGATCGAGACTGGGCTGAAGTTGGCGCCTCGTGAGTGATTACTCATCATAATATTGACGTTGTTGCTTGCCTCGGTCTGTGCTTGCTTTGTTGAGGCTCTCACCACGGGCACTTGTCCTCGTTTCTTCTGCCACAGCCGTAATAACATGGAGTCACAAATTCGGACACGTCCGGTACCTGGTCACGGGCTTCCAAAGTTGCCAAGATGCCGGGGTGTTTTCGCTGCACCCCTGCTGGCCCACCTAGCGCGGCTTCGCTTGGTGGTTGTGCTACCGCCCAGGACCTTGTAAGGCGGCCGTGAGGGTAGCTCTTTGACATTGGCAGCACGATTGTCATGTCGAGACTATCGAATGAAAGGCCGTGAAAAGCCTCGGAAAGGAGCCGACCAAGCCAGGTGAGGTCAACGTTACCAGTCTGTCGGGAGAGGCAAAAAGGGACCTTTGCCCGGTCGTCCTTCCGGATTCGAAGCCGGGCAGTAAGTAGCCCATGGCACGAGGTAAGGCCAGGTAAGGTGCCGCACCCTCTTGCTCCCCCAGAGCGCAGGGCAGCGACCCCCTATCGCGATCTATCGGACCGCCGTCTGGGGCGCAAGATGGGGGGCAGCTCAGCTCAGCAAACCCCCCGCCCCTGGCTTCCACCTGCTGCTGCTGCTAGACCATCTCGGCCTTCGGGTTGCGGCTTGAAGACTTCTGCTATGTGCGTGCCGGGCGGCATAAATCCCTCTCAAGCGGGTCATGGCCAGCTTGTCAGGCGAGGTGCCGGTACAGTACGGTACGGTACGTTGCGTCCTGCTGGCTGGGAGTGTCAAGCTGGACGGGCGTGCTTCGGTGCTGGGTGATACAGCCTGATGCTGCTTTTGATGGTAGATGGATGTCGTTGGCTGTCTGTCAGTGGCTTTTTGTTTTAGCTCGGTGTGCCCGCACGCGGCCTGTCGATCTCCATCCTCGAACTCACCCGAAATAGGTAGGTGTTCTGGTGGGATGCTCGATAGTGCCATCGTCATTCGTCATGAGGCTGCCGAGCTTTCATTGACGTTCCAAGTCGCAATGGGCCCTGGATGGATGTCAATGGATGGATGGACGGATGGAGCAGGCCACGCTATTGTGCAAGCGCCAACCACTTTGGGTCCCAGCTAAACCATGTCGATAATTCGCAGAGTTTGGCTTTCCCCATTGTGTCAAACACCACAAACTAGGGTCTGAAGATGGAGGTGTCTGGATGGAGTTCCCAGGATGGAGGGATGGGTGTAGGACAGGGTTGTCGTGGAGGGGTGGCAGCGGTGGTGGAGGACAAGGGCTGGCGGCCCTTCCACGACGTCACTTGTCAACCCCTGCCCATCCCATGGATGGTTGTACAACATTATGATCATTCATGCTCGGTTTAATTCTTCTGGTGATTCTACTATTACAGATGACCTTGCAGATGTGACAGTGGCGCCCTCTGCATCGGCAAAATGAAAAATGAGAGCTGCATGGTATGGATGGATGGATGTACTCTATAGGTAGGGAGGTATTGTATTCATGGATCATGAGGGAAGGAAAAAAAGTGCTCGTCATTTCCCACCGCCATCTCATCTCATGGGGAAAAAAAGAGACCTCCCAATGTCCAACGCGGGAACAAGGGCACATCCCAGTCACCTCAACTCTGTTTTTCAAGGCCATTCGAGCTCACAGGCGCGGGTCTCACTTCAAGACATCCATATCCACAGACCTTGTCCATGT